CGATTTTGTCCTTCACGACTGTGCGACCATTGTTTTTGCGACGAATTTGAGACCAATAAGCAATCACGGAAAACAATAAATGCTATATAATATATATGGCGGTACTATTCTGAATAGCTCAGTCTTGCGAATTGATATTGGGAAAAAAAAAGAAGGGTGACGATGAGGATTCTCAGGTTGTGTAGCCTGAGGTATCATTGGTTGCTCATAAAAAATTAAACGTATTGTATCTGTATAATTTCATGACGCATGAGTAATCCAAACAATATAGTGTGTTGTACAATTGGGAGTTACATTGTATACTACTTACGAACTTTTCTCTAGAGATATAATCGCACATTTTTATCAATACTAATCCTATGCTGTAATCAGATGTCATGTTTCCATCATGTAATCCTATTGTCAGAAAAAATAGTGAGAACTTATGTTCAATAAACGCGTTTTGATATTGTCAGTTGTTTTCTGTTCTAACGTGTTTGTTTCACTTGTTTTTGTTTCTAAGGCAATATCTCATTTGTCCGAAGGTACGTTATTTCCTACTGATGACGGTTTCTTCTTTATGTTTTCGACTAGCGGGTATTGCTCTATTTGAAAGCTATCTCTATCCCCAAAGCTCTGATACTTCTGAAATGCAATCTATCTCGAAATGTATCAGCTCCCCCAAAATTGTTAGACCTATCAAATATTCACAAGTTTTGCGAGGTCCTTTGTTAACTTTCAGCCAATGTAAAGACAAATTCAAGTACCGGAAGTGAGTGTGGTTGTGAACTAAGCACGGTCTTGTGGTAGGCGTTTTCGTATGTGTACAATTCGTACTGTTTCGTATGATATCTATTAATAGTCGAATATCGCTAAACTCGTACGACCATTTATTTTTTAAGGAATCCGGGATAATGTTCAGATAGAACTTAAAAGCATAATAATATAGTTTGATTGCGCCTCAAACTGCGAGATGCTACATACAACCCACTCTCATCAGAATTATGTTCGGGCGCAATAAATACGATGCCCTAGCGCTTTCCTTACTTTGTGATGAGCACAAACGCGTTTTCTGAGCCGTACAAAGTAGACCTCAGGGCGCCTGGTCGTTGTCTGCAGTAGGGCGGAGGGCAGGCACAGGGGAAATTGGCGCCGCTTTGCGCCTCCCGCTCAAGCAGATAAGTGGCGAAGCAGATTGGCGCGGGGTGCGGGCGGTAGGCCAGGCGGCGGCGGCGGCAACGCGCGCGCAGTGACAATTGATGCTGGAGGCGGTCTGCCCCATCGTTCATTTAGTCTTGTGCCTCGTCTTCGTCCCTTTCTCTCTGTCACGGACGATAGCATCGTAATCCCCTAGACTTTATCTTCATTGAACTGACGTACTTTTACGAAAAAAAAGAAAGTTGAATGACTACTTTACTATCTCGGAATGTTAGCAACTGTTTTCTATATAGAAAATCCAAATTAAGTGGATTTGAAAGTCTAGGTGTCATCATCAAGGACTGTTCTTGTCTAGTGAATTGTTGCAGTATTTTTTTGAAACATAGAATGTTTTTGGAAAAAATATTTCTGACCAGTAAAGTCACGAAAACGAGAACATGGAAGTACCTGTGACGTACGATCTTTCTTATTCTTCTGATGAATCATTTGCGACATCCATTCGCAGGAGATTTCGTGTAAATTCTTGTTTGGGATGGAATATCAAGTGCTTTCTAAGCTGAGCTCGAAGAGGTAGCTGGCTGGCAGTATCGGCCGAAGACAACGACGGTTAAGGGGGCGCGCAGCGAACTACGACCGCCTTCCTGGTGGCAAGCGGCGGCCGCGGCGCGTCGACCCTCCTTCGCCCCCCCCGCCCCCGATAAGGAGAGAATTGCGATTGCCCGCCAAGCGCCACTTTCCTTGCACCGATGTTTATTCGTTAATTTATCGAACGGGCGCTCAAACCAATTACAGATTCGTTTCCATTAGAGTTCGTATTCGTGCGTGCTCTGTTCGGGGTCCTATCATTAGTCAGTAAAACATTTCGGTGTATTTGCGGTGTAGCTGCGAATCCTTTAGTACCGCTGACGACTGCAACTCATATTGTCGGTGTTCATATTTCATAACATTCATTGTTCAAAACAGTGTAGATTTTCAGCGATTAAGGCTGAAGCAGGTTACAAATTTCAACTGTTACGTTGCCACCTGTTACACGAGATTCATTATTTCGTTAAGTCGTTTCAATGTGTGAGAACCTTAATCGAATACATTTTTCTTCATACCTCATTCATTGTAGCCACATGCTGAGCGTTAATTGTTAACAAAACTCGCACATTAAAAACAATTATCATATTAAAATATTTTCATCTCTGTCAATCCAGTTTTTCAGAGTTTATTTTTGTAATGACTGCCCATGCAATTTGGGACGCAGAGCACCTACAATTAAGGTCTGACTATTTTATTTCCAAGCGCGTGAGAAGCAAGAAGAGCTAAAAGAGTTCTGTTCGTGCTTGGTGTTCTTTTTGCAGGTCGGGCGATTTTCGCTTTGAATTGAGTGGCCAGTATGTTTCGTCCGTATGCAAATGAAGCACAAGGATTTTGTCTAAAGGCATACACGGCCTAAAATAAGAGAGGAGAGGCAATTACATTTCTGGGCCACCTTTTCCAATTAAGTTTTTCCTTACATATGAGTAGACATATCATACTGGCACACAAATAAAACATAATGAGAATAATATTATATATTTATGGTACAGTTCGTAAATGTAATTAATTTGATGTTGGGCCATATACAAGGGTTGGCGGTTGGCGTGGAGTGTCTTCTAGATATGCCATATAACAATTCTCCAAATTGTCAGGTTAGAAAAGAGGAAAAATCAAAGTTTGAAAAATTTATAATTTATGAAAATAAAATATTTCATTTCGGCTGAGACTCCTTTCAAAATTTTCAGGGGGGGGAGGAGGGTGCAAGGCCTCCTTGGCGCACGCCTATGGTTTTGTCCAACGTTTGAGGAACGTTGGTTGCGAATCGTTTCGTCGGAAGCACGGGCGGCGTGCCCAGACTTGCACCGAGCAAACCCTGGCGGTCTTTTTCCTGCCATCCTCTCTTGAAGCACCGTCTCCCGCGAACACGTACACATAGTTCAGCCGATATTCTCAGCACTCTTCCTGCCACTGACGTACAGTCTCGAACTAAGCGTGCTTAGTGTTCTCTTATAGGTGTGAATGAACACCTAGTACAGTACAGTACAGTAGATCGAAGCATTCAACTATTCGTGCTGTCGTTTCGTTTGTGTGTATGTTATAAATCCGGTTATCTGTCGATTGAGACAATTTAAGGTTTACATTATCAAAAACTGGTGGATATAGTCCGAAGTGGCAACAGCTTCAAACCATTCTAAGAACGTCACCCGGATGATGTTGACAAAATTCAATGACATGGCGAGGATATATAATGCATTATATGGTGTCGATAGCAGTGGTGGAATAGCAGATTGATAATCAGGATCAGACTGAGAAGTTTCTTAAGCTAGTGGGAAATAAGATACAGTATGTGTGGTATAGAGCCGCATTGTGTCATAAATTTCTATTACACACCTAACTTCATCTTACTATTGAATTAACACTTAAACTGGGGCAATATTTCAGTCTTAATTCGCGACATGTTAATTTCAGAGAAATGGTGACATTTCTTTTCAGATCAGACAAAAGAGTAAGACGAATGTTCTTTCTTTTTGAACTTAATGAATAGTATCAGATCCTTCGCCAAAAAGTTCATAGGATAGCAACAAATAATTATTGCAACATGTGTAGCAATTTCCTTGGGTCCTTCCGGATAAATAGGATTTCATAGAATTTGACTTTCTTTTCACTGTATAATTCCTCTCATATGCATATTGCACAGACATCACGGTTCATAAATTAATTTATTATTAGTGATTCCGGACAGGTCAATGACTAGGGTCACTAGTCCCGTAATTATAGTGCATGTTTTTGCTCGGTTGTCTTTCCCGGCTGAATGGCGATATCAGACTCCGACCTACCGTCGTCTAGCGGGGTTTTTCCCAACTAGCTATCTCCCACCAGCGGCGCACCGCCCCAGCTGGGACAAGCTCTAAGCTCCCGATTGGTCTCCCGGCATGTGGTAGTGTACGGTATGTTAGTGCAAAGGGTGAGGATACGACAAAGAATAATCGCGCGCAGTCCATGCCCATTTGTTAAGGACTCCGACGTACGCCTGATATTGATCGAAGAAACCACGGAAAACTACCGGTCAGAGCAGCCGGCCGCTAGAATTCTCCTACGCGACTGAATTCGACCTGACAAGACAGTGTCGAACATTCTGCCACCGTCGGGACTCGATTCTAGGCGTTCCCGGTCAGAGGGGCTGCAGTGACTATGGATGCCATCTCTCCTGTTCATAGACATTACGGACCCTTGGGTGATTGCAAACACCACGTATTCCAGAGGATTGCTTAAAAAATAAGACCTTGACTTTCAACACTTCAAATTTATATTGAAATATATGGAAGAGTAAACGGTAATGTTCATGTTTTAAAATCAAACTGCTTTCCCCAAACGGTGCGTGCTACATAATTTTCCTCCTTTTCGAAGAGTGTGGCCGCAATTTCCTGGTTCTGAGCACGAAACAAATCTGGCGGTGACATAAACCGAGCAGCCTAGAGGATTGTTTTCGCAATAATTTCTCAAACTTGAAATTTTGCGGAGAGTTGTTCTCGAGAGCATTACACGTACGGGAGCACTGCGGCATGTGTTGGTATTCGACAGCAGCGCCTACGCCCGCGAGACGGCGCCGTCACTCGCCGCGAACGCCGCAGAGCGCGGTTCTGGCGAGTAGTGCGGCGAACAAACCGTGGCGGCGCGACGATCGCTCGCCTGCCCCCTCCCCGTCCTACCTCGCCACCCCCCTTCGCCGCCACCGCCGCCGCCGCCTGTGAGGCGAGGCCGGCGCCTTTCCACGAACTCGCAACGTCGCATGACGTCAGCGCCGCCGCCGCCGCCGCCGCCACCACCACCACCACGGCAAGAAAGGGGCGATTACGACCTTGTAAAATAGAAGGCGCGACCCGCTTCATCATCAGTCGTTCGCCACGAGCGCGGGAGTAAGGACGTGTGCGCGGACGTGGTTGTGTTTGTACAGACAGCGGGGTGCCGTGCACGCGAGTGTTGCCCGTGTTGTGTAGCGTGCTGCTCCTGCCTTCATCTGCGTACGTTCTCCGCTCCACGAGACGCGCCGTGCCGTCCCGTGCCAGCCCACCTGTTGGACCCTCTTACCAGTTCTATAAAGTGCGCGTAGCGTAGCTGCCGATTCGAATTCGTTCGAGTCGCACACGTTTCGCCCAGTGAGACCTAAAGCGAAGTTTGATGTCGCAGTTGGTACCGTTAGGCCCACTGCTGCAGTTGGACCGAGACGACGACTACTACCTTGCCACCATGTACTCCGATTGGGCCAGAGACGACAGCAAAAAGATGGTAAGCTGCTCAGACGGATTGTTGATGATTGCGCGGTAACATGGCGCTTTGCGGACTACCTCCTCACGCGTGCCGCACCACTAACTTTTCCTTCACTGCCAGCGCTCACTGTGGTTGCTAGCAAGTGGAGAAATTGCCAACTTATTACGAATGTTAAAATGATAGCTATGGAACGTATGCAGACAGATAGTTAATGTTGCAAGTCATTCACGAAAGACACGTGATACATAAGCTTCTAAGCGATTCTAGAATCAATTTCAACCAAGACTAAAAGATTCGATTTTCATGTGACAAACTACTAATATTACAATTGAAGACAAAGCTAAGACATGTAGAAAATTCGCATGACTGAATTGTGTACTTCCATGAAATTGTTTATGGGCACTATTAATGGATATTAACGTATGGTACTCGGTTACATCTGCAAAATATGCAGACTTCGTGTCCACCTCATGTGCCAGATTCGGAATGTATTTCAGCCCATCGACACATTCAATCTCTGGCTTTGTGTCGTGCTTCTGACAGTGCAATTAAATTGTGAAAGTTATTCCTGGTCTGTTGAAATTGTTAACACTTCAATCTTACTCGCGTCCCTTGTGGTCCATTTCCGCAAAGTCCGGTTTACGTCAATCAGGTGGCATTCACGCTGGGACTAGTGACGTCAAACTGACGTCACTGAGGACCCACGTTGCCGCTTCTCGAGATCTTGGCCTTGCTGAAGAATTCACTTATTCCTCATGCTCAGATTAACAAATCCCTCTTTGCCACATTGTCGCTGATAAGAGACAAAAAATTGGGTGAGATATGGAATTCGTTCAGGCGGAAGTGGATTACGGATGATAATTACTAAAAAGTCGTAAATTCGCTAGGTGGCTTGCCGTGACTTCAAATACATCGCGACACACAGGGCAGCTGCGACTACATGAGCATTGCGCGCTCCTGCAAATCTCAAAACGCCGCATGTTTCAATTGTGCGAGTATTGCACGCGGAAAAGGCCGCGGGCTGTCTCGACTCGCTTCGCGCCAGGCTCGTCGCGGCGGCAACTCGACTGCGCCTAGTCTCTTCTCATTGCGCAATGTCCCTCGTCCGACAAGGGCGGCGCCGCGCCGGTCACATGACCACCGTCACATGAAACAGATAGTCGGAGGGAGCCTAGTTCCACCCATTGTTCCACTCGATAGAAGAGTGAAGGCGGCGGCTTGTGTGTTTGTGGAGCGATTGCGCGTGACGCTGCAACCACTGTTGGGGGCCTTTGTCGCTCGCGGACGAGGTAAAGTTTTGAGCGCCGCGCGGCGCGCATAGTTTTTGGCAGCGTGACAGCTAGCGGGGCGAGCGGGCAACAACGGTTGTTGAAATGTTCGCGCGCCCGCGAACATTTCGCGTGCTGCGTATCTTGCCGGGCGCTGTCGGGAACGCGCGATTGAAACGACGCAGTTCTCAGGCAGATTCATTTGTCCGTCCACTGGTTTTCCTTGGGGTTCGTCGAAGTGCGAGCGGGAGTACTAGAAGTTCGGGCTTTGAGATGTGTCGAGTTCTGTTGATCGGCAACGTGCCAGTGCACGACGTAAAAACATGGTCTTGACAGATGACACTTAACGACTCGCATATGACTTATTTACAGTCTCGACGTAGAATTCTCAGCAGAATGCGTGAATACGAGTCTCAACAGTAATGCTTCTCAAATGAACTGTCGGTTTCCCTATAAAACTCCGCCCATAATAAAAAGGAAATATGAACAGTTCAGATAATACGTAAATTTTCGTGTATTAGGTACAATACTCTTCATTGTTATCGCGGTGCCGCACCGTGAGGGGTCAAGTTCCTCGCACTGGTGTTATGAGGTATTGTAAGTACAGTCTATTTGTTGATGTGCTGAGTATACCATATTGCGTTCAATGCAAGTCCATTACCCAAGGCCCAAAAAAGTATTCTCTCATAAAATATATCAAGAGTCGTATCATGGCTGAGGTCGCGGCAGGAAAACGGGCTAGTAGTATCGTGTCGAGCGGGTGGTAAGCAGAGTACACCGGCCTGATTGTCTTAATGTATGCCATGTGCTGTCAGGTATTGGTCGATAAAATTCAATAGTTGTGCGGCCGTGGCGTACAGACTAATAGAACGTAATTATTTGTCCTCCACATTTTAGCCCCGTAATGGCCTTGGTAGATATGAATACAATTTTTGGCTCAAAACCTATTTTATGAAAATTGCGATTCAGACATACTAACATGATCAGATGTTGGTACATTTTAACTTTTGCTCTTGAAAAGACCTTTTGGTAATTTATTTGAAAATTCATCCGGCCAATCAAGCTTTTAATTTTTGTGCATATTTGATGTGCCTGAACAACCCGTCCGATGAGTAGCTTAGACGAAAGCGTACGCTGTAGAAGCTGTTTAGTTATTGAGCCAAAGTAAAGGAGCCTACCACAAACGTAAATGGGATGACAATTTCGGATGAGGCGGCATTAAGAGAGCCGTTGAAATTTGGATGCGCTCTTGGTCCGCGACGGCGATTCCCGTGTTGAATGCGCGGGTGGAGCGGGACGGGGTCGGGTGGGGCACGGTAGCCCCGGAGCTGCTGGCGCCGCGTGGGCATCGCCAGGCATTTCCGGCCGCCGCCCCCGCTGCCGCCGGCGGACGTGCCAGCGGTTCGTCCGCCCGCCCGTTCGCTTGCCCCGCCGTCGGCCCCGGATTCGGGAACCTGGGCGCCGCGTGATCAAGTCCCCCCCCTCTCTCTCGGCTTCTCCTCTCTCTCTCTCTCTCTCTCTCTCTCTCTCTCTCACCACCCCCGCCCATCATCCTCCCCGCCGCCGCCCCCACCGCCGGAGCTGCAAAGAACTAGCGACGCTGGTCGGACTTGCCGCAGGTGACGCTGCACGTCCGTGGAAGAGTTCGGGGGTTCACCGGGAAATCACCGCGGCTCCCGCCGTGTGTGGTAGGTTCCGCCGGGCATTCCTACTATGCGTTTATTCTCGAGTGAAGTTGTTTTGATTTGGTAAAAGCCTACGGCGCAGTTCTCGGCCGCGGATTATCCATTTCGCCTCTCAGGAACTCAGGAGATAAACGATTATTTCAAGTTGTTACAGGAAGTAATTAGTTCACGCGGAGGATAGGTTTTTATAGTATTGGCAAAAGAACATTGCATTTTTCATGCGAAATGACTACGGATTGGGTACGTTTTCCGCTCGGAAATATTTTTCTTTGCCAAATTGCTTCGGGACATTTTCCCTGTAATAACGTTGATTAGAGTTTGGAGTTAAGTGTTGCCCTCCCGAAAATGTCGTGGGAAGCAACCCGCTAAACAGCGCGTGGAGCAGGAATCTCGAGCCTCGTACGACGGATACCCAGAGGCGCACGGGACGGGCGAAGGGTTGGGGGAAGGAAAGGCCGGCCCACTGGCTTCGCGCCTCGGCAGCGACGGCGGCGCAGAGTTCGCTTTAAGCGCAGTGGCGGCGGTGGGTGTTGGGGGCATTTCGGGAACTCCCCGCCGCCCTCACCCCGAGCCCCCGTCCTCCCCGCGCGGTCTCGTCGCCCCGACCCACTGATGTGGAGGCGGCGGCGGAGGCAGGAGCAGCAGAGGCGGCTCGTTGCCAAAAACGCCGCGACAACGAAGCGCCTTGGAGCAGGCGGAGGCGAGAGAGAGAAAATTCACGAGCGAGTTAAAAACGGAACTGCGCGGAGGAGAGGAGAGCAGGGTGGGCGAGGCGGGGCGGGATGGGATGGGATGGGATCGGAGGCTGGCTGCGCGCGGGGCAGTCGCTAGCCGTCCGGCCGCCGGCGCAGGAGGACGAGTCGACACCTCTTGCGCGCCCCCGGGGAGCCCGCTCGAGCCCCACGAAAGCCCTTGCCTGTAGTGGCGCAGGGCCCCTGGGCGACGGCCTCCGAACGAACGACCTTTTTTCCTTCGCTCTTCGCGCTGGAGAAAAGCATAAACGACACGATTCCCGTTCCCGCGATGGAGCCCTTGGATCTCACGAGCCTGCTGCCGCCAGAGTTGTGGTTCCAGCAGGTAGTTGGAGGGCGTGCGCGCGCGAGACGGAAGACTTTGCGGATGTGTCTTATCTGTGTGTTTTGCTTTATTGTTGCAGTTCGTGACGCTGGACGGCCTCAATTCGGGCGTGCCCACTCGCACTACCCCGACGCTGACGCCCACCACGCTCCGGAACATCGAGCAGACGTTCATCGAGCTGCAGTGCGAGGTGGAATCCCACCAGAACGAGGCGGGCTTCGTGCCCCCGGTCGTGCAGCCCATTACCCAAGGTGAGTTGCGTCTCCGCCCCCCCCCCCCCTTGGGGCTTCGCGAGCCAGCAGACGAGGAGAACCGCCGGTGTCGTAGCCGAATGTATTTTTGTTGCTGCGACACTACGTAGGGTCCACGGTCCCTACGTAAACACTGCTAGCCCTCGCATGTTCATTATCTTATTTGAAGACCCCAAGGAAAAAAATAATCGGTTGGGGTTGCACATTGAAATGGCGTAGCATATAACGATCACAAAAGTTTGTAGCCATGCCAACTACGCAAACATAAAGCCCTTCATAAAGACATGCAGCCTTTGGGGAATGTCGGACTTCGTGGGTCAAAAAAAAAATAAGGGCATTAATGATAATGCAATTTGTAGCGAATAAAAACTCTCACACGGGGCACTTCCTGACGCCTTCGAGCCCGAAAATTGCTAGGAACTGTAATGATTTCATTTCGAAATGCCCAGTTATGTGGTGTTTTTATATTTTGAGAATGCTACTTGTGTATTTAGACACTCCTGTACATAAAAACATTTATGAAATAGTCTGCATTCTACTACATTAATAGTCATTTTGGCTTATCATTGGACAAATTCCAATTTTGCTGAGTGTGTGAAATTAAGTAATTATATGCTGCAATATTATTTATCACTCAATTATACAAAACTTATTAAGAATACCTAATCTGCCAGAACTTTAAACGCAATAATGAGTAAGAATCATTTAATGTTTATAAATGATAGTCACATGCCTACTTAATAATAAATTTAATGCATAACTGATTAGGGTGTGGATTTGACTAAAACGTGTCAAAAATGGTAAATCAAAGGTTTTAAAAATGCCCTAAAAACAGAAAAATTACATAAAAAATTTGATCAAATCCACTTCAGATAAAAAAACTCAAGCTGTTTGGTATGTTATTGATGTAATAAAGGGTTTTTCCTTTTAAGGTGAACTAAGCTTGCAAACTTTTTTTGCTTTGGACTGTTCTTTCAGAGAAGACCTCTGCCTTTATCATTAAAACAGGGGAACTGACAATGGTGTTGGTTGGCATCACAGAAACCTTACATGACATAGTACTCACAACAGCTGAAATTGCAATATAGGAGCAAAGAAATTGATTACGCTACTGAGGAATTGTGTGGTGGAAATTTGTTGCACCTCATAAATACTGTTAGGAGCAGGTACCATTACATAGATATTAAAATCAATAAAATCGGTGAAAATGCATTAGAAAGGACATAACAAAGGTATAGACTGGCCACTGACATAAAATGCAAACAGTGATGCATAAAAATGGGTTATTTCGTTTGGTCTCGATTTAAAATGAATTTCTTCACTAAACAGCATTGTTCTAAAATGAATAGGAAAAAAATAAATTTCATTAAAATCCACCCCTACTGATGATACAGTGAATAAATTGGAACTGTCAATTTCAAAAGGACAAAAGACTGATATTAGTATTTAAGCATCCACCGCATTTAGTAAGAAGTCGCTCAGAATTATTTTAATTATTACTATTGAGACATATTATTGAAAACTATACTTACATGTTCTGTTACAGCTGGGAGCACATGCATGACTGTTGTTGACACAAAGGGGTGGCAAGGAGGGATCACATCTGTGGCTCAGTCACAGTCCCGGCCATCTGTAGTGACAGCAGCTCCAACTATTCCAACCACGGCTTCCACTACTCGCAGGAACATGGGGGGAAGGCGACCTGCTAAGACAGTGGGGGTAAGTTTCAATTTTTGTAAAGAAGTTTTCTTTGGTGAATTCCACTAAATTATATTATACAAAACTGGAAAAACATTAAAAGATGCATGATTTAATGTATGTTTTTGATTTGCAGATGTCACCAGAGGAAGAAGAAAGGAGGAGAATTAGACGTGAACGCAATAAGATGGCAGCTGCACGTTGTAGGAAGAGACGTGTAGATCACACAAATGCGTTATTGATTGTAAGTAACGTTCCTATTAATTGACTTAAATTCTACAGTTCACTGTTTAGGTGCAAATTGATCTTCAATGTCTTACTAAATGGAAATTATTTTTTTTCCAGGAAACTGAAGGGCTTGAGCAGAAGAAACAAGGTCTCCAACGAGAAATTCAACAATTACAGTTGGAGAAAGAAGAGCTTGAATTCATCCTTGAAGCTCACAAGCCATGTTGCCGTCTGAATGGAAATACAGATCCACCTTCTCCTCCTGACATTAAGCCCTTTGCATTTTCATCGGGCTTAGAAAAGTTGGGCATTCCTGTCAAGAGGGAATCGCAGGACATGGCAGCCGCTAGTGCTGCTGCTGCACCTCTATCTGCTCCTCCACCAGCAAAGAAACTGATGCTTGGATCTGATGCAACAAGTGGTGCAAAACCTCCACGACCCAACTCTCTCCCTGTGTCTGCTGCCTTCACCCCCTCCCAAAATGCCCTCAAGGCTGCAGTATCTGTTGCTGAGGTTGTTGGTATCCCACTACAAACACCAACTTCAGGGTTACCATTTAATTTCGACTCTCTGATGGATGGTGGCACTGGTTTAACACCTGTGTCAGGCCCACTGGTACCCTCATGCTCAAGCCAACAGCGCAGTTCGGGTTGTGTGGATCTCTCAAGCCCAGATTCTGTTCCGCCTAAGTTGGTATCTTTGTGATGGCGGGAGGATTTGGACAATGGGGAGGCCAGGAGGGATGTGCAAAGATAATAGAATATTATGTACATATTTTTGAGGAGAAAATCGGTTTACAAAACTTTAGCTGTAACGTACAATAATAAAATGAAACCAAAGTGGCCTGAATTTATCTGCCTTAATTAATGAAAAACTATACTTCCCCTCTCAAGCTCCCAAGTAGGGCTTTGCTCAATTGATCCTCATTGTGAATTTAGTTTTCTGCCAAGAAAATGCCTTTTTGCTATTTTTCAAAAATGCTTTTGGTTATCATTTCTTCATACTTCATATTCCATGTGCTTTGATGACTTTAAGATGCTATGCATAGGATTCCCTCCATGTATTTTATTATAAAAGTATTTTCTACAGAGTTACCTATTTTTGGTATATCAGTACTACTAATACAAGTGCAACATTATTTAAATAATGAAATTTGCACATGTATAGTAAATTCTGGATATAAAAAGTTGAGAAGAATAGCAATACATGGCTTTGGTAGCCATTGGAAAATTTTCAAGTATTCATGTAATAGAGCATACTTTTTTTCTATATAGTTGAACCTGATGTGGATTGGGCTTTGCAAAATAAATCATTCCAGGTTTTTGAAAAGCCTTGTTCATTGATAGTACGCAGCTCAATATTGTGATTGCCAGAAGGCTTACAAATTTATAGCTGGGTGCATGGACAGCTAATATAAAAGTACTTCTTGATTGTACTTATTCCTTTGCTTATTAGCTTTGTGACTCCATATTTGCATTATGGAAGTACAAGAGTTCATAAGTTGCAAACTTGTAAGCCACATCAGGTTTTTTGAAACTTGAAGATGCATGAGATTTTTATATTGCATAATGCATGTTATATATTTTGTTTGTGATGTGCATTGTGATTGTCATAATGTGAATAAAAGGAAGCTTTTGATACTGAATATGCATTTATTTATCCAATATCTAACCAATAAAGAATTAAAATTTACATTTAAAAGTTAATTGGTTGGCTAAACTTTATATACAAGTCTGCACAAGTGTGTATGAAACAAGTTTTGCTATTCGCAAAACAAATAGTAAGTATGAGGTATATTGCTCATTCTTCATGCAAATTTTGACATCTTAAATTAGTTCTTTCTTGGTAATTGCAAGAGTGAGTGAGTGTGAGTGTGTGTCTCAAAATGCTGTAGAAACATACGAAGACACTTCAACACCACTTTAGGCTTCTGGTATTCAATGTTGAGTTTTTAATGTCTAAATTTAAATTCTTTATTTCTGAGAATTTAAAATGTTTTCAATAAGTTGTATTTCAGGATAATATACATTTTTTAATGTAACGTTTTTTTTACTATCTTATGTGTATTTTGTTCTTTGCTTTTTGCTACTTTGGCACCCATTTTTGTCTAAATTCCTTTTTTAATTTTTTTAAATTCACATATGAGAATTTTATTTTAATAAAATATGCTCAAGGAAGTTAATTACCAAGGAACTGGACATTTCTGGAAATAAGCGCGGCAAAATAATCTGTTCCCCTATAGAGATAATATGGTTTTAGTGTAATTAAATTATTGCTGTTTTTTAGTGGAGTTGCATTTACGTAAATTAAAAATACTGGGACTAGTTACTTGTTTTAAGTGAGATGTTACTATAGAGCAGGGGTGGCCAGCTACCAGAGCAGGAGATCATGATCAAGCGAGAGAAGTTTGCAAAAGGCCTCATGTTTTTGACATATTAAACAAACTATTACAAAAGATAAAAAACTGAATATTAAAAAATATTTACGAACTAAAACATTCACAAACTCTTAATGAATCACCTCAAAACATTTTAATTACAAAGTTTTATTATTTGCCGATTTATTTAAACGGCAAATTTGGTTACCAATGTCTTGAAATGTGGGAGGTGGCATGTTAAGGAACTTCACACAAGTTCAGTTAAATATTTATTGGTCAGAAAAGCAGGAGGCTTAGATAAACTTTATTGTTGAATACAATGACTTGCATGAATAGATTGCCCACAAGATGAAAATGATTTTGCCCAGAATTACATAATTTTCAGATAAGCATTATACAGCAATACACGATAGCTAAAAGAGCTGCTTGTAGCTCATGAGCCACTCTTTGGCCACCAATAGGGGAAAACAATCAACATTAAACTCAAATATACTAGCAATGACCCATCTCAATATTTGGACATCTGACCTGGTGCTGAACTGGTGTCAATGCTGCCCTGCTTTGAAAATAAATTTTTTGCCAAATTATTGTTACCAAGACAGATGACATAACATCACAACTGATGCCCTTAATTTAAAGGTGATCTGTGGTTTGCTTCCTTGCTGCGAAGTATCAAATAACAAATTGGGCATGCTTGGATACATTTTAAAAGTATATTTAGTCCATTTAAGATTCTTAATTAGCTAAAAAATGAGAAAGTACAAAAAACTATAATTGATTTTCTTAAAAGTCAGGCATATGCAAGAAGAGCTTGTAAGGCTGCATTGTGTCAGTTTTAAATTTGTCCTTGCCACATTGTCCCTGCCTTCTTTGAAGCAGGTTGAAGCAAGATGCAAGATGCAGTTTTTCATGATGGTGTATGCACAACCAAGTGTAAGATCAAAACTCAGCAGAAGAGGGGAAATTGTGATAAATTTGAATAGTCTGAGAACATACTCCCTAACTATAACTAGAAGAAATACATTTTTTTAAAAATCTAAAACATCCTGAAAACATGTCAATGAAATATTAAAAATCCTGAACCCCAGTGAGTTCACCGGGTAGGCATAAATAAATTTCAGTAATCGATTCAGAAGCAATTAATCAACTTTTTCCCCCTGTGCATTTGGAAGCAGTAGTACATAAAATCATACGAAGACATATGTCTATATTTGGGTTGACATTTTGTAATTCTTCTACACTTAACCATTTCCTTAGTGATTGATCCTCTGGATTGAGTGTTGTTAAATGAGATTTCAATTGAAATACTTTGCTGACAACAAATTCCTCAATACCTTTGTGAAATTGTTATTGCAAAAAATTAAAGCATGTATGTGTTTAGAAACTTATATAACATATATGATTTTTAATTTTTTCACTCCTAAAAATTTGCAGCCCTAGGCCAGAGCCTACCAGGCCTATGCGGTAATACTTCGCTGGAAATATTCACCCCCAGAAACATTAACAACTTTCACCCTGGGCCTCCAATTACAGAGACTCAGCCCTGCAGCTTGGTATATCTAGATTATTTTTAAAAGTGATCAGTGATACCTCAAGGTTAGTAATTATCATAGTAATAACAATGAGTTGGAAGCCAGATGTCTCTGCCAATAAAACTTGTCTCCATGAGGAATCAATGGCCATAAGGCCACTGAAGGATTATATTAGTTGAGACATCTGGGTTGTCCCCATCTCATTTCTATTATTTTGTGAACCACCAACTTGAGGACACTAGCTGACACTGAATATTATTATTCATTTCCTTTGATCTAGTAGCATGAGTTAATTAATATTTTGTAATTAAAAAGTAGATATTTTCAATGAAGTACATAGGAATGGTTTGTCCTCCTAAAGTCAGAAAACTAGGTGTTTGTGGGTTATAATAATATGTCCAAATAATTTTGAAAGGCAAATTATGACTTTTGAGGACAGTCTTTTACATTTCTTTCAAAGATTTCTTGCTATCTCTGTAATCTGTTGTTAATAATGCACTACATAAATAAGAAATAAAAGTATTTACTATCTCATCCAGAGACCTTTAAATATTTTAATTATTTCAATGTGATGTAACTGAATTATAATCTGTCTGGCCAACATTATATTTGTTTAATCACACACTTTTTCTTGTTTATTGAGATATATAATATTCAATTTTTTTTTGGACAAATAAGGATAACTATTTACTTTTATACTGATTTCAGTAATGATTTTTTTTTTGTTTCCTCTCTTGTCTTACCAATATATTAACAATGCAAAAGTGGAAAAATTTTCAAAAGACATCCCCATACCAGTTTTCCTCTCCAAAATATTTAATTATTAATTATTTTAACATATTATTGTTTTTCAGTTTTCAATGTAAATGGTAATAACTTCTTAATATGTTCCTAGACTGCTTTTCATTTACCAGTGACCCCAAGAAAAATTATTGTAACATCTTTTTTTAAAGTAGCATGGTATTCTTATATGTATGCTGCCCAGAATGTGTTCACCTTTCTTTTGATAGTCAAGAAAATAAAGATTGTTAATGGAGAATTCAGTTATTTGCAAATCAACACTAAATGTATGAGACAATTACTGATCATGATACCTGAGCAGTTTTTAATATGCTGTATTCCCAACAATGTAAGCAATTATCCCAGAAAGTCAATTTTCTCTCTCTCTCTCTCTCTCGGCTTTTTAAAACATTCACAATTACATAAATATATGAGTTATTTTACTTAATTTATTATAGATCAACAGTCTGCACCTCATTTATTATTATAAATTTGTGCAGGGAAATTTCTCTTCGTAATTTGATGTGGATGAATGCGGAGATTGAAGTATATTTCAAACGGAACCTTACCAGTCGTGCCTCTTCCCCGCTTTTGCGATTAAATGACCATTCTTCCCCAGTGTTGTCAGGATATTGCAATAACATTATTTCACTTCAGTGACAATGAAATACATGACAGATCGAACAATAAACAGTAACTTTACGAGACTTTGGTAAAAAGCAGAGATAGAAATGACGAGTTCTTCTTGCTCGCACATTGCAGGCAAGTTTATTATCTTGTTAGACACTGTATTGATTAAGTCACCTCTTCACGATGTCAATGTTGGTGACACTGATGAAGCATTTATTGGATTTTGGAGCAGGTTACTCTTGGATTACTCGTTCATGTTGGGTGTTGTGCGTCAATTTGCTGTATCAAAGTACGGAAGAAAAAATAATTATTTTCAAGAAAGTCTTCTCTGAAGTTATTTGCAGAGAAAAGTAATTTATGTACATTTTGTAATTATAAATATATAATTTCCTAATAAGAATTAAATCAGCAGGTTTTGTTACTTTAGCGAGTTTTATCATTCCTGTGCAATTATTTTCAAATCTAATGGATGTTTGTGCTTCTCTGTATGAAATGTTTATTCCCATTTTGCCTTTAAACGATAGGTTGGATTGAAGAATTAGATCTGTTAAATAATGTTCAAGAGGAAGTTGACAGCATTGGACCATCCTTCCCCTGACAACTTCAGTGTAAATGGTATGCATGTCCTGAAAAATGAACCATATTTCCTTCATTCTTTGTGATTTGAATATGAATTTGAGGATATACTTCATTGCAGATGAGAAACAGTTCAGAAACCTTGTTGTCTGGCTTGAAGATCAAAAAATACGTCACTACAAGATAGAAGATAGGAAGAATTTACGAGATATTAATTCATCAGAATGGCCAAAAGTTTTTAGACAATACCTTGATGATTTGGCATGTCCAGTTCATTCAGAGAGTGACAATTCAGCAGAATACCTTGAATGGCTTTTGAGCTTTTCTGTAAAATTGGAATATGGAGATAATGGTAAGATCAATAATTTTTTTAATGTGCACTATCGAGTAATTTTACTTTAATTAATTCTTATTCTTTTGCAGCTGAGAAATTTAAAAATCAGACTTCAGATAAAGTGAAAAAGAATGAACTTAATACTCCAAAAGTAGTTTCTCAGAATCCTCTGGATAATTTGGACTGTGAGTATTATTACTATTCAAACCTTTTTTCCTTTCTGTGATTCAAATTTGTTCCAAGTGAAAAACAAAAATGTTTCTTGTGTGCTGATATCGTAGACAATACCTCCAACTTAATAATCAACAAATCATAGAACCATTTAATGTTTATGCAAATAATTTTTTCTTTGGATTTTTGTACTTCGATTTTATATGCATGATAAAAATAATTTTTCTGTGGTCTGCTATAAGCTACTTTGAATGATCATGGTACATATTTCACAATCAGCTTTTAATACATTTTTAAAAGTGAAGAGTTTCTTTCACAAACATTTGTATCGTCTGTATGCTAAATTAATCATATTCCTCTACCTTGATGCATTACTTACGTGTTGTGGACAGTACTTAAAAATTCCTTAATCCTTTTAAAATCTTGTAATAATCTAAGAAAAAATAGGTGGGAGAGAAGAATGCAGTTTGCTGTAATATTTGCTTAAAATACACACTGGCCAGTTAAATGGCACTGACACCCTGTTCTCATTGGCATAATATATTTGTAATCCACTGGTTCTTTCTACGGTGCTTTAAGTTCTCAAAGAATATTACACATTGTGAACTCTCAGAATTGTTTAGTGTTGGGTTTTGAATGTTATGACCATATCAATAGTTAAAATTGAATTAAAGTGGGAAGTGTGGATTTAGTGCCCATATTTTATTTAAGAAAGTTAGCTTCTCATTATTTTTTTTAAATAACCAGAATTATATTTTTATTTCTTCTTTCTTGCCTCAGTTGAATGTGCTGATTTCAAAAAAGGAGTTAATGCTCTTGCACAATTATTGAATGTTACACAACATCCAGATCACTTGATTACATTAAAAGCAATAAGCAAAGTGGTGTGTCAGCGACTATCGGCAGAGGCCCTTGAAAATCCCAATACTGTAATTGTTAAGGTGAGTGAAAACATTTGTTTGCACCTTGTTTGATGCATATAGTTTGGGCCCTGCAGTAATTTTTCTTTCCTTTTTCAGGGGAAGCCTTTTCCATTTCAAGAAGCAGATTTAGGCTTTGACATGGGAGACTATGTCCTTAACCAGGCCGCAAAGATTTTGCGTTTGTTGTACATTCACAATTTGCGTGACTTACAAACTAGAATTAATGAGTGCATTGTTGCTGTACAAAATGTGACTGCAGATCCCAAGACTGACACCAAATTAGGGAAAGTAGGGAAGTGAAATGATATGTACGAAATTGAAATAAATAACTTTATATGTTATGATTGTTTATTTAAAATATGCCAATCTAGCCATTTATGACTTCTTCACTGTGTCATTGATTTTTTCAACTTCTGGGAAATCTAAAATTCTTGCCATTCCCAATCCAATAGCTCCTGAAAAAATAAAGTATTAAAATGCTATTCTCATTAAAATTATTTTGAAGTTAGTCATAAATTGTGAATTATGAAACACCTTTAAATACTTGCATAGTTTATTATCATTTAAAAAGAAAGGTACTAACAAATCGCTCACCACAAGCAATGCAGATCATACCAGACCGTGAAAAACCAGTCTTCAAATACCCATTATAACCAACGTAGAGTCCAATACCCATCATACCAATGCCACCTACAAGCCGACATTCCAAGCAGTCCTTAGAGCGTGCTGTTACTTGACGTGTTTGATCCATTTTTTTGAAATTTACATTTAATGCTACAAGTTGGTATTTTCTTAATTCTGAGAACGTTACTTCAGCACTTCTCTCGACTATACAAACATCTGATATAATTATCAAACATTCGCTGTTTTAAAACGTGTGTCCAGGAGCGTTTATTTTATTAGTCATTCATAAACTTTACTCTTCGCCGGATGGTCATTTAACGCAATCCTCACAGAGTTGAACAATTACATTCAACGCGTCTTTGATCTGCAGCTTTATACTTGAGATTTCCACGCTCGAGACTTCGACGCTCACCACGCTATCCGCGAAATGTTTAATACTTATTATACTGGGAATGGGAATGACAATACACCATGAACGTAAGAAGCAACTAATTGAATAATCTCCCAGCAGAGTACAGTATGAGCACAATCCGTGCCCATTCTCTGAAACTGAGGTAGAGATGCCTGTTCACATCGCTGTATACTGACGCACTCTATCCCGTACCCACAACACCGCACACCCCCACACATCCGCATAGCAGTCTCGCACGGCGCAACCGTGCCTTTTGAAAGATTACAGCCAACCACAAGCTGAGAGGAAGGAGACACGTAGGTCATCACTCCTGTCGCTCTTCTCACGACCATAACAGCGTCCATTCGTTTGACAGTACAAGAGTAACTTAGTTGCCAATTGTGTTGTGAGTCATTTTTGTGAAATGATTAATCGTGCCTCGTCTTAAATCCCGATGAAGACACCATTTCATGGAGAAACGAGGGGGTAAGTTCACATCCCAGAAGATACGTAAGTGTGTGTTTTTTGACAAATGCAACGCCGATGCCACTACAAATGACTGTCGTCGGTAGAGGCTCCTAACGATAGAAAATGCAAAGCGTGAGTTTAGCTCCAAAAGTTGCTCTAAAATATTAGTTATGTGCGAACAGTGCAAAATGACATTGCTTTACCAAATATTCGTTTATAATAGCTTGTAAGGAAGTCCTTTGATGTAATATAATGGTGAATGCCATAACTGTTATTTTATATGGAATTATGCTCCCAAATGATCACAGGAAGTAATAAAGAATTATTGATAAATAATATCGGTAGCATTTTCGGGAGCCCATTACCAATAGTCCCAATGACGTTGCTGTATGACACCTGTTGACACTTGTTTTCGAAATTTCATCGATTTATGCAGAGTTTGTAAAATCCAATAAAATATAACCAATTAATACAGTTTCTATATGAGCTTTTAAGCGAGCTACTTTATGGTAATAATCAAAGGTTTACACAACAAATAAGCTTGAAATAAGACTGCGTAATTTTCATTTTGAATTGGAAATACTGCTAAAAATTGTTAATAATTAGAACAGTTTTATGGGATTGCGAACCATTTTTAGAGTTCCGATTACACTAGCAGAGTTAAAAGGATTGCCAACGCTATCTATTATTGTTGCTTGTATAATTGAGAGGCCCCGAGTAACGTACCTGAAAATGACAGTATCATGTTTCGCATGTTAGGCAGAGTTAAGAAACCGACAAGATAATATACTTTGCCTATTCTTACACACTGTTGATATTCGCATTTGTCTTTTATAATTACGGCATTGTAATGAATTGAAATAAGCGTAAACAATGGATAATGTGAGGCTATGTGAATATAATTCACTTACAGTTATCTTGGTTTCTTATTCCACGCTCCAAAGATAAAGCACGGAAGTGGTGGCCGACGCGTTTTATTATTATAGAATAATTGACAAACGAAGTAAATAAAACCGAAAACCGAGATTTATTAGTGGAAAAAATGTGCAGTAGATGGGATTTGACTAAAAACTGGCAAGTGTCATTTTAAATTCCTTTTTATATTTTTTCGTTGTATTTTATTGACAACTGAAGTGACGTTCTTACAAAGGGAAGACATTTTTAAGCTGTAATGATACTTATCTCTTGATTGTAATGACTTTGGATGCCACCAAAAGAAAAAAAAGACATGTTTGAAATCTGATTAAGATCTTAATTGTATTGAAGACAATGTTATTTATATGAAATGCAAAATTTATGTATATATAAAAGTAGGCTTCACTTTACAGTACATGCCACACTTGTTACAATCCTAAATTTAGGTTTTCAGAAGACATTAAGTGGACAAAAAACTCCCGTCAAAATGATTGTAGAATATGAGGGCATAAAATGTATAGATATGTTAAATAAAATGGTTTTATTTCACTTTACTTAAATGGATTAAATTTTTACAGGATCATGATGTCTGGTGATTCCCCAGTACCCAATTCTCATGGTGATCATCTTTGTGAATTGGAGGCATTGGCAATAAGTCAGCCATTAAATTCCAAGATTATGACCGATAAAGCCATTCAAATGAATCCTGCTGATTTTAGCACTCTTCCAGTTGATAACTGTTTAGGAAAACCCTCAGACAAAGCAGTGCAAATGAATTCTGCAGATATAATTAATGAACCGGTTGGGAATAATGTGGAGCCTCATACCACATTAGCAGGACTGGAAGAGCATGCAGATATGGCTGCATCCACATTCCCAACCATACGGAGATCTGATGGGCAAAGAGCAACAGTGTTGGAGGATGAAATATGCAACAGTGATGAAATATCTTCTTTCTGTCCCTCAGATGTGAGGGAAAAATCAGATGATTCAGTGTTAAGATCTGAAGAAATTGAAACTGCATTAGATCAGACAGACAACCCATCTACTCAAAAGTTCAGTGTCAATAACCCTCAGGAAGAAGACAGTTGTCTAATTAATTGCTTGTTTTATCTTGATGAATGCTGTACATGCACTATCATTTGATATTAACATTTTCTACATTGTTTACATAAAATAATACTCATTAACAGTTACAGTTCAAACACTGTAATTATCTAGTGCTTCCAGTCCTATTGTGGACCAAATACATATGAAGACATACGTTATTCATAAGAGCGTATGTATGAAAGAAAATCTCGAAATGAATCTAACTACATGCTAAAAATTGCAGTGGTACTTCATTGATATTGAAGAATGTAAAGTGTTTAGTTCTGTATTACCATTTATGAATATTAAGATCACATAATTTGGGTGATTATTATGAGATTAACATACCATATTGTCAGGGAAATAGCATTTGTCTTCTATGAGCATTTATTAGTAGATAGAGGGAAAGGTAGCTAAAAGATAATTAGGAAACATCTGTGATATGTTCCTCTATAGATTTAACTGTTATTTAACTGTTCCTCTATAGATTTAACTAAAGTGTTCACTTTACAGTGCCTGTTCTACTTCTATTAAAGAACACAAAGTTTTCTTGTTCAAAAAACAAGTTTAGTTTGGAGAGTTAATGTATTTTTCACATATGGATTATTAAATAAGATGTTAAGTAATGTGTTGCTACAAATATCTTTCAGTATTATAATGGGTGAGACTCCCCTAATCCTTGTCCCATAATTCAAATTTATATAAAAATGAAACACTTTTTTCAAGCTTATCAGAACAAGTTTATATATTTCAATGACTTCTGTGCAATATCGTACACAATACAAATTCACTCTTCACATTTTTTGTTATATACAAGAACCTTCATCGAATACATAACATGTTTTCATATGTACAATATACATAATGTAACACCCGAATAGCAGGAAGTTACATACTAGTTTCATGTACAAAAGCAGAGCAACTTGATGTATGCAGGCACAAAGGAGACAACCTTTTAAATGGTGACTTCATTTACACATTCAATAATCACATTATGAAATTATGCACAAGTCTTTGGTTTGAAACATCAGTTACATTTTGAGTATGTTAAACACTGAGTATTACTCAGGAAACTTGCACTCTCACAGAGTTAAGAATAAATTATACTATAAAACCCAATCCATATGAATTACATCTTAAAACCGCTTTCTTCACAATTTTATAATATTTCGAATTTATTGCTGAAGGTGTGCAATGTTGACTGCAGAACACAATGCAAGTAGCAGGTTTCTGCAAAAAACTTGATGCCTTTTTGATGAACTATAAAAAAAGGTGCCTTTACACATCTTGACATACCGAGAGAAGAAACAGACCAATTTAAATACGATTTGCTTTTTTTTCTTTTACAACAGTGTATTTTTAGAGTGGAGTCCCTTCAAAGCACACATTACCAATACAAGGAAGACCTAAAAACACATTTTCTTTATCACTCTTCTCATTTTATCTTTCTACACTGATACTTGTTTAAAACAATATCATCTTTAATTTTGAAAATTGTCTGTATTTAAGAGATAGACTCTTAAAATAATTTTTGCTGTGAAACGGAACAAACCAAAAAGAGTAGGAATGGCTTTGTGCAAAAATTGTACTTCTATTTAAAGGAACAAAAACTGGCATTTAATTTCGATAAAAATAAAAATTACAAAACAAAACCACTTACAATTATTACAAGAAATGTCTTGCAATGTAAATTCATTTTACTATAAGTGATGACCTTTACTGTTTTAATTACTAGTAGCTCAAATGCTTTTGTATGTTCGGTTATTCATTGGATATTTTACACACATGATTTAGAGGGAGGGGGGGGGCTTATAGGTAATTGTTGCTCCCCCCCCCCCATGTTGCAAAAACTAGACAAATTTTTAAGTTTACTACATATGAGCTTTATATTAAAACTTCTCTGGAAATTTCACATGAAATTCCGCCACTGTCCTGATAAATAGAAATTCTGCAATAGGACATAATGGGCAGATTTGATTATTGAAGACAATTGTTAACCTCTTCCCCCTAGAGTATTTCCACTTTCCATTTTCATGCTATTACATAAATAATTATTTAACTGCCACCATAGGTAATTTTTATTATGTGGAGTATATTGGAGGGGATTCTTCAGTAATCTGTATTTCCTCTATTGTATAGTCTTCCCCCCTATAATTTGGTGCTGGTGAAGCCCATGACTGCCACATTTTGGCTACTATTTTTACCAAATTTCAGTGAGTTCACTGTAAAATGGAATGTGAATGAAATGCTCAATAACTGAAGATGAATACTGACATTTTAATCTATTTTGCACATGTATCACTGAAAGGAATGTACTGAAAAGAGAAAGTAATATATTAAAACAATGACTATAGAAGACCAGAGTTCTTCAGTCTTCAAATACTGCATTTTGTTCTGAATACTGCAGTTTTGTTTACGTAAACCTACATTTGGTTATTTTAGGTCTCTGTTGAATAAATTGAAGAATTTCATATATCTATACAAATGTACAAAATTTAATTAATTATCAATTGACAAACAACAGTCAACCTTGCATTACAATCTCCATTTTCTTCAACGAATCAGAATTTCGGGTGTTTCAAATGACCTACAGCAACTTCCATCAGAGAAAAGCTGGCATAATGCTGGTTATTCAAACAATTACTATATAGTATATACTAACTTCAAAAGTTTGACTGTTACCACTAGTGTTAAATTTTGGAAGGACTGCAATTTCTGCAGCCTAGTGAAAATTGAGAAAAGTGATAAACATTGGTAACAAAATATTCCTAGTGTTCTCATTCTGATCATTTGAGTAGTTTAGATTTCATATTTTCACTTATATCTGGTTAAATTTCCAATTATAAAAGAAATAATATACTATTAGAGGAAAGGATGTAGAGAAAACAATGACCAGATCCTTGCCTCATTAATTTACAAGTAATTTAAGATGTGCGATCCAATTCTTAAAATAAGAGAATAATGACCTCACGAACAATAGTTACTATGAATGCATATGACTGCTGAATGTTTTTCAGTCTTTCATCTCTAAGTAATGAGGCACATTTCTCAAAACAAGTTGGTGGCCATTCTATGAAGTATTTTTTCATTGTACTGATTTTTACATGTACTCATTCTATACTGAATGTTCCAAGATATTGATAATAATTTGAATGCAGCCAGTAAAACTAACATACTTTCTAGTGGATCACACTTATTCCTTGAAACCACAATTATTTGTGGCTAAGAATATAGTCTTTAACATTCAAGAAATCATTTATCCTGGATCATGTGCTGTATATTGGTAAAGGATGAGCTTCTGAATTTAAAACATATTTATCTAAGTCGAGCAAATACCGATCATCAGCAAAAAGTAGGTATAAGTATTTTAAAGTTTCGCTGAGAAAGAATGATTCCATCATGTCTCTTGGCTTTGTGTTGGCAGGATTCTTCACATTGCCTAATGATGTATACCCATTTTGCACCTTTGCATATTTTTCAAATGCCTATGGAAAATAAATACATTTATGAAAATTGCATAATTATAAAATTGAACATGAAATATTACAAAATAATCTGGAAAGAAGTTACAAAAAACTGGCAAACATTAATTTCATATATTCTGTAAGTCTGTGAAACCAATCAGAAGTTGATTGTGTACATTGGCCATTTTCTTTTATTTAAGATTTTAAACAAAAATTTTATACATTTTTTTGACATGTTTAGAAACAGTGACTGAAATGATATAAGTTACAATCTAAAGAAAATGTGTGAAGATATCAATTCATTGAATCAAGATATAAAGGAAAAAAAAATTGCTCAAATCGAAATGTGTGAAATGGGTAAATCTGTTCAATGTGAACATAAACTGTGAACCTGGCAAATGCATATTAGTATACATAGTATCATTTATTTAATAATTTGGAATCCTGTTTTAGACCTTGAGATAATGCAATGAGCAAGTTTCACTGTATGTTTATTTCAATGATTATAAACTTGAAACTTTTCTAGAATGTTGGACATGACAATTCTCAAAACCATTGACATAGCAAACAAATTATATCATAAGTCTATGACTGAAATGAACGCATAGTTCTTTATAAATAAGGAAATATGCACTATGCTGGATCAAATGAAGGTACATACTGTAAAACCCACCTCTGGAACTGTCCATATTTCCACTAAATTCAACATAGGATTAAAAAGTTGGCAGCTCAAGAATTTGAATATTGAATGAATTGTAATATGTTGTTTTGAAAAATCACTGATAGTGATTTTCATAAAACGTATGTAAGAACCAAAATCTCTCAACTAAAAAAAGTAGTATTTAAAAAGAATTTGAGTATATTTCTACCACCACCCAGAAGAGAAGGCAAAAGCATCCACTTAAACTTATTTTGTAACTATGGATTTTTAACAAATTTGTTTATTTTAATAAGGTACAAAAGATCTTTTACAATGAGTCATAAGACATGCACAGTTATTTTCTCAATAAAATATGGGACATTTTTATTTGTGTAAGAAATTAAATATCAAAATGATTGTTTATGGAGGAAGGGAATAGAATTAGTATTATACAGATGAGGCCAAATTATTAGAGTAAACCTAAAAGAAATTATTATGTTAACCAATGATTGCAGTATTTAGCATGCATCCTTTGTTTTAATAAGTGGTCTGATTAAACTGACAACTGTCAATCAGTGTTTTTTGAGTGTGTGTTTTTTGTTTGTTTTTTTTGTGAACCTGAAACCAAATGTGAATGAGCTTCTCAGACCAATGTTCTTTTGTTACATTAGCCTTTGTCCAAACTATTTCTTTGACTGAAGAAGTCACCAGGTTTTAAGTACTTTTAGACTTAAGTACTCTCATAATCTACAATAGATAAATGTCCACAGTTATGCTAACAATATGCACTTCAGACAATCACTGACATTGGAAATGCTTCACTATTGCTTTACATAATATGGGTGAAATTCTTCTTGCTCTTACCTTCTCACATACTGACTTGTCAACTCGGTGACAAAATATAGATTCATTATTAAAACAAATCTGACAAAAATAAACCAACCAATGTAATAGGCTGTATTTTGTAAAGACAAAATTTTGTACTTTTGTGCTACATCTGTTTGGTAGAAATACATAAATTTATTAGTGTTAATTTTGGAATTTATTGAAATTAAATGTTTTTGTGGGCTTATCTGTTTCCAAACATCAGATGACTAATTTTAGGCAGTCTTAGCCCATTGAAACCTATTTCCAAACAGCAGGAGTAATCTTTTCTTTTCTTTGATGTCATCTTGCTTTCATTCTATAACTTACTTCTAACAGTTCTGGATGTTTCGAATGACTCAAACCTTCTAATATCTTACTTAATTATGAACTAGTAGCTTTGCAATTTCTTATGGAGAAATTAATCATTATCTTCTTGGTGACGGTGGTATCTTCTTTGGCCCACAGTTTCCATAACTTTGCTGACACTTAATCTTCCCCACATCTTTTAAATCTATTTTGAGTGCTATGTTATTTTCTATCTAAAAGCTATGTCTGAAGTTGATATTAATTTTCAGCAAGTGGTGCCCTGGCTGTGCCTACCTATCTTGGAAAGAGCCCTACTTTCCTGCCTAGTACCTCAATATTTTATTATTGTAGAACTGGCCTTCAATGGTCTGGTCCGGTATTACATTAATTCTGGAAATATGGATGAAATATGGGCAAAAAATAAATTTTTACTTTTTATCCCCAAATTATTTTTATTGGTTTTAGTGCATCCTCCAGAAGTTTTGCCCCAGTCAGGGATAATTTAAAACTTAAATACCATCTCCGCAGACACTCGTGTCATAGAACTGTTCTATAGATTTTCAGAACACTGCTGTTTCAGAAGGTGATAATTATTTCCAGATACGCAAGCAAGTATTTACTTGTTCTTTGGAATATGTTTTTCTTGTTATATCAATTATATGCATTGACAGTGTTTTCTTTTATTAAGAATTTGATTATGATGAAGTTGCTGGAGAGAGAGCAATTTGGATAGATTGACCAGTTGGCAAAATAACGTTAAAAAAAGCTAAAACACTAATTCAAAGTCAGTCACGAAATGTAAAAAGATGGAATATATATAGTAAGGTTAGAGGAGAATGTGTACTTCAAACACTGCCTTTTATTTCTGCTCCAGAAACTCCACGCAATGCATCAAAACAAACTTGACTGAGGCCTATATACTGAAGATGGAGAAAATAAGGTTACAAGTGATTTCAGAATAATAGACTTACATATCCTTTTTGAAGCTAACGGTAATTGTGTAAAGTGTGAAAAATCCTCAAACTTGAAGGAATAATGGGAAAAAATTTAACTAACTACGGTTTAGATTCTGGAATATTACCTTCATTAACACTTCAATGCTTGCAAGCAATTTCCATAACTTTGAGTTCTTAAGTTAAATAGAGTATTTCCTCAAAAACTATTTGACATACTAATTTCGGGTGCAGAATATAAAGAAAAGAATGTGTGAAAGAATTGTTTTCAAATAATAGGTTTAAATTTTCTAAACTCTAATGTTTTTACATCTAGTGTCACAAATTTATTAATTAATATTTAACACAATATACAAAATACTGCAATTTCCAAACACTCATTTTTTATTTTGTATTTCAAGAGGTGTTATGCAAAGTCTCAAGTTTCAGTGATCAGTCATAGAGAAAAGTGCATCTTGGTGAAGTTAAACAATAAAAAAATATTAAGTTTGTATTCACCAATAATAATTTCAACATCAACAAAAAAATATTTAAATAAAAATGATTTTTTTTCAAACATCTGTTGACAATAAAATTTCAAAGAGTTTTGTCAAACCCTGTTGTTCAAAAAAATAATATTGCATCGTGAAAATCTGACTACATCGCCCTTTGATAGACACAATAATTGAATTAACTTGGAGAAAATGCTAGTCCAACCATTGGTCACAATAGTTTCAGTTGTATAAGAATGTGATTAACTTATGTCAAAGATTAAGCAGAAACAAAATTTGCAGAAATACAGCTAAGTAACTAAATAAGGTTGCAATTCTCAGTGTACATTTTTTTAAATTAAAAAATACAACTCTGAAGGCAGGATAATTCAAAGGACTAATTTTACCACAAAACAAAACAATGGAATAAGTTTTAAAGTTTGATATTTAACATAAAGAGGAAAATATGTTTCATACTCTCTAATAACTTAGCCATGTCTGTAGGTGTATTAAATTAGCCATTATCTATGGGTTACTTACCTTAAAAATTTGCCATCCCCAATCCTGATACATTTTATTTCCAGTAAATTGAAACATGTACCATAAGCTCTCCACAAATTCTGGCCTTAGTAAACTGTGTGCATCACTGTTTTTGACATATATGTCAGCATTTGTTTCATCCTGAAGAATCAATTCAGAATAAGTTACAAAACAACAAACTTCAGGATAAAAAATGTACAAATTATTTCCTGATTTCACAGAACAAAACAGAAAATGGAAAACAAGACAGAGTGAGAGCGAACACATGAGAGAGGAAGAAAGAGCATACACGCAAAAGAGAGCGAGTGACTTTTTCAACTATTTAATCATATTTTCACATTGTAAGAGTATATATGAGTAGCCATTTACAGTATAATTCTTTCAAAAATTAAGAGTAAAACATAAAAAAAATTAGAAAGTACTTACAAGGATGTTGAAGTAAGTGATTTCTGGAGCCAAAAATGTTGGTTGTTGGGCATAAGTTTGATAGCATGTTGAAAGAAGATCCTCTGCAAGTTTCATGTGCTCCTCAGGAAGGCCGTTATGGACACCAAGAGCTAATGTTCCAGGCAAGTAACATGTCAAATGATCCTAAAAATGTTGACATTCCTGTCATTAACACTCTCACAATTACAAAAGCTGAATCTCCACATTTTAAATAAGCAATTGAGAAAATGTGAAACACTATATTTGGATCAAACTTGAATTAAATTAGTTTCAAATAGTCAAATGTTAGGTATTTTGTCCTTATTTTACATAATATAAAAACAGTGAGATCGCCATAATACATTGAAATTATAGTTCTTTTGTTAAAATTAGATAATGAAGTTTTAATAATACACCTACATTATCAAATAGTAGAATCATAATATCTTTTACAAATAATTGTAAATGTTTGTATACAATTTGAATTAGTAAATAATAGTATGCTTAAGTAAGCTTTATTTATCTAGCTATTTGTTTAGTCATTTCAAAAACATTACTAGTCTATATAAGACATTATGCAGTTCAAATACTAACTATATGATGTCAAAAAGCAATGCAAGAGACCATTTATTGTTAGCTCTTTAAATGAAGCATAATTAACTACATTAGTGGTATGATAAATAAATAAAAACGATAGAGAGAGAAAGAGATAGAGAGAGAAAGAGGTGTTACCATTTTAGGCTTAAAATCTCTTCCTCCTGCCAACAACTCTCCAATAAATAAGTATTTGTTTTGTGCTGTAGTCCTGGTCAAATATTTAGTTGCACCTTTTATGCCTTCTACATAATCATCCCTCAAGCTGTAAAAACACACATGAAGTACACACATATATTAATTTTTTGTTTTCACAGCAAATCATCTGTAAGTGTTACCCAATCATTTGCATTCAAGAGAGATACTTCACGTATATCTGCAAAGATTAATACATTTTTGAAAAGCAGATAAGGATCTACACCCGCAGTAATACGTTTCCATTGTAAATTCCTCATCCTTACTTCGTATGAAGAGGAAGTATTGCAATCGTGCGCCGGAAATCGGCGAATTTTCGACAGAAAAAACTCTTGCAACTTTCTCGACTATATCATCATGCGCAAGATGACTACAATGTATTCCACAGTGCAGCCGAATGAGCACCCCCTTCTGTTTAATCATCACTAGTTTACATTTGTCTTACAATAAATACAGAAGAAAGCATCAAATAATTATTGTAGTATATGCTTGCTTTACAAATCAGCTTTAAGACCATGAGAAGGAAAGAAACATATAACACCATCTTATAAGCACAATACTATTTTTCATTGAAACTCATTCACTTTTTATTTCAGATATATTGACGAGCGGACCAAAAAACAATGAAAAAAAAAAAAAAAAAAAAAAATCCCAAAAGAGAAATCAACTGGCAAGTTTTTTTATTTATATTTTTCTAAAAATGTGTTTTTTAAAAATCTAAAAAGAAAATGAAAGCATTACATAGTACTAGTAGTTTCACATGATATATCAAAAAGAAATATATGTAAACTTCGAACTAAATTAAATGTATGTAAAGCAAGAAAGCTGAAATATTTTTCAATAATAAACACTGATGCTTAATCAAGATTTTAGAATGCACAACAGTCATATTTTACTTACTAGTCTATTGTTTTTCCTGTTTGAAGCCACTGTTTCAGAAGGTATTCATAATAGCTATCACCTCGAGCCCCCATTGTAATAGTAGAATACGTACGAAAATTGCCAGTGTTTGCATTGATGAAGATTGGAACTAAACCTTCTTTCTTGGGAAGGTTATGTACATGAAGTGAAACTCTGGCAGCAGATTCCTACAAAAAAGAAAATGAAATTACAACAAAAATAATTAATTATCTTTAAAGATCTTTTTATTGCCTCTATTGATTATTTGTTGGATTTTCAATTCACGCATTTAGTTTTGAAGAAAAAACAACAACAAACAATAACAACAACAAAAAAGTCTTATAAAGACCTCCTTTCCCAACACCAAATTTTAATTAGAAGGACCTCAAGTTGAAGTAGACTGCAGAATATCCATTTTGAAAAAATTCTGTGAATGATTTACATGCCACCGTTTCACAGGTGAGTGAGAGGAAAAACAGTGGAAGAGAGGAAAGGAAGAAGGAAAGAACAAAGAGTAAGAAGGAAGAATTAAACAAAAAGAGAGAAAAAAACGAACAACTAAATCAGTTTTTCCAATTTCTCTGCCATAGATCATCTAGTTGAGTAAGGCAGTAAAAAGAGCCTCCAAACGCCAAAGTAATAGTAATTTATTATACTACACTACAAAGAAATACTTTATCTATGCGAGAATGGTATTACTTCATGACGTAAGATAGAAGGGAGCAAGGTACTTTTCTTGAATAAATAAAGTATCATTAATATCATATGTAATATTTGATTATATCTGTTTCCACTGCATTTTGTAAATAAAATTTTAAAAACTTGGTGTATCTTACATACATAGTATAGTGGGCAAGGATTGGCATTATTAAGAATTGAGAGAAACAGTTGAACTCATAGAGAATTATTATTCACAAAGTAAATGATGAATAGGAGTTGCTTACTCGCTACTCAATCTGCAAAATAGCAGGTTCTATAATAGGTGATTTGCAGTTAGGTGTCAAATGAATGTGCTAAATGATGTGGAAAAGGCAGAAGCGAAATAAATAATTTGATCTCAGACAAGTCAAAAAAATGATTGACATCGAATATCAGAACTTCTGCAACTGGATAAGAAGTAAAAATTTGGAAGGTATTGTTAATAGTGCCTTCCTTTCCCTTCCTCTGCTCGATCTATTACTATATATTTTATTATGTAGTGACACACACACATTACAGTATTATTAATAACTAACTTAAGTTTGAAACAATTGAAACAAGTATTAAAAAATTAAATCTCCCTTTCACAAATAAATTGCAATAGACAGTTGAAGGGAGGCAAGGAAACAACATTTAGATCTGTTATTGCAATAAGCCCTCCATAAGTGCATTCTTTGAACCTAATTATACACTATTTGAATGGGTAGTAGCAGCAGGTTAATGTCTATTGCTGGGAAGGGTGTCCACAATGGAGTAGATAAGAGCATTTTTTATCACGTGTCAGTACTGTAATAGCATATTATTGACCGTAAGTGTATTTAATATTTTGAATAAAATATAAGGTTTTTAACATGAATTGTGACTCACAATAAGAATTCTATAACTGGTTTTTAACTCCTTAATTCCAACCACGCCGCTTACAAAAATGTTTCCTACAAGTTCATTTTTTAATGTCTTTGAGCTTCAATTTTTTTGAAATAATTAAGCATGGTTTAAACAATAAACTTTTTAAGGGGGCATCTTTCACTATTCTACAGGGCTAGACCTTTTAATGTCAGTGAAATTCAAGGTAAGGCCCCAAGAATGCTAATCATTAAAAAATTGATTTTAAGTTAAATTCACATCATAATAGATAAATAGAACAAAGAACAACACAAAGATAAATACTAGTCTTAGCTTTGACCATCATGCTCTAGCAGACAAATTCCATAATTACTATAAACAAATTGTAATTGTTGGTATCTGAGTATTAATTCTATTACATAAACATTCATATTGCCGGTATATATGGCGGAGATCGCTAAGACAGTAGTGTCGTAGCGATCTTTGAACAAAGGATCGCGAGTTTGAGTCCCACCTCGGGCATGGTATGGTATTGACTTGATATCCCTGCCTTTCTAAAAAAAGTCATCCTGATACAACTGGAATAACAAAAGGTTACAAGAAATGAAATTTAATTATTCTTTGTTTTATTTTATTTGATAGTACACAAATTCCAATAAACAACGTATGAAACAAATTATATTTAGCACCATTAATTACTAAATAATTTTTTAATAGTACCTCAAATCTTGGATCTCCACTTGACCGACTCAGATCTCGAAACTCCAATTGTATGGTAGTTACTTCAGATGTACTACTGTCAGGACTCCACTTTGGAGAATGTGCCTTCCGAGTTGACAGATTGATATCAGAAAATGGAACGCCAGACTCGGAGTCAAAACATGGCAGCAAACGTGAACCAAGATCAACCTTAAAGTATGAATTCATGTATTAATGCATAATACTACTCTATTCTGATGGCACATCAGAACATTCCGATCTATAAAACTTCCCTCGCAAAAGGTGAAACAGAATATCCTAACAACCATAAAAGGGGTAGTAGGCTCATGGAATTTTTTAAAATGCTGCCTCTAATTCAACCTTTTACAGGCTCATGGAATTTGTAAAGTACCCTCCAAAAATTAATGAATGCTTTTCAATATCGCAGAGCTTTGACTCAGGTCAAACTGACAGGGATTTGTTTAGTTTGGAAAAAATTGTACACCTAGTTTGAGTGCTAGTGTTGTTCGCATACACCAGACAGACTGACGGCGTTTTGCTGTGAATCAATATTTCGATATGAAGGTCACACAAAACACAGATTCTGGCTACACCATGTATTAGAGGATTTTTTCGTTTTTTTATTTAGCAACTGGATTTAGCCACTTTTTCATTATCAGGGCCTGGCAATGAACTTTTTTCTGCCAAAAATCTGAAACAGCAGATTTTTGGCAGAGAAGAGTTTATTGCTGGGCCCATATAAATTTTCAAACAAAATTTAAGAAATGAAGATTGCCCTTTTCCTAAATCATGCGAATATATGGTGCCACAAGCTTATTTGGTAATGTGGATGCAAGAGAAGTGTTTTAAGAGCTTGAAACTATATTCAAATCATCTTTAAAGATTTTGTGAGTTAGGGCGGTATTGCACCGGACCCCTCACATATGAAGTATCTTTATTTTTTATTTAACATTGCAAGAATTTAATGATAAAAAAAATATGCTTTTACAATAATTAAGGATAAATAAACCACTTAACTATTTTAATTTAAAGTAAAAAAAATCAAATAAACCTAATTTAAATAAAAGAATTATGATCTTTGGAAAAAAAAAGTTATGATTTTTTCCAGTCCTACATACAAATAACTATCACCCCATAAATTACAAAAGCATTTGACCTGCTCACAAAACTGCCATAATTTTGTAGAAAATAACAAGTTCTCATTTGTTTTCATTGATAAATTACTACCCATGAACAATTCTCAGAAAGTTATTTCGCTGTGTAAGATTTCAAGTAAGTCAATTTCGTGTCATGAACTTGCACAGTGTAGATGTGTGCAAAAAGAGACTTGAAACATTGAAAAAGCATGTTACAATAATTATTTTTTTATAATATTCAACTTTTACTTACTGCTTTCTCCAGGAACATTTTATCTCCTGACAAATGGTAAGTACTCAGCAAACTACCCAAAACACGTATAGTGACTTCAAATAAATTAACATCACGGTTTACTTCAAAATGTAGGTTGTTAGATACCCACTCTCGAGCTTCAGTGAATTCTAAAAGATAATATTTTATTTCAATTAAATAATCAAATTATTAAAAGTAAAATGCCCAATTACCACTACAAAAATTTCTCTCACCTTCTTTAAGACCCATTATGTACAGAGTATCAAGGGAATCAACAATTGTTAAACCAAGACCAAACCAATCTTGGTATCCCCCTGATATAGGACGGAGATGATCATGACCCCAAGCAAATTTTTTATAGCCTCTCCATGCGTGTTTCAGTGCATTCACAACAGCTATTTGCCTTTCGTTGGAAGGACCTGAAAAAGAAAATCTGAAAAGTCATTCACAACAATGTATTTTATGAAATAAATATTCATTAGTTCATTAAATTTGCTGTAACATTCCGAAACACAAAACATCACCTGAAAACTTAGAGGCATCCTCTGGTAGAAGTTGTACTTGCTTTGAATGTTTATTTACACGGTCTTCTTCAATATGAATGTCCTTTTGCACTTCTGGTTCTTCAGCTTGAACAGGAACTTCTTTTGCCGCATCATGTTTCGGTATATCATTCTCAGTTTCTGTTAGCTAAACACATTAATATTGTGTGTTTGAAATGACTCTTATCATATCAATCGATTATCTCTGTGTCACTCAGTCATCCTTACACAGTGCTTTATGCAGTTTTAGTGTTGTTTAATTAAAAAAGGTCCATGTGCCAAAAACATGGAAGATTTTTTTTTTATTAGATATCCACATAATTCACATTTATTGTCATATTGCGAATGAAAATATGAGGTACCTTGCTAGAGTGTGGAAGAATAGATTGATGGGGCTCCAACTTTTCAGGTACACTATTCAATAGAGGTACAGTATATTTGTCATTTATACGAGAAGTTGGCCAATAATAAATGACAAGAAGAAGAACAGCTACTACTAACATATAAATTAAACTTCGCTGAAACCTTGAAAGCTGTTTCCACCACTGAAACACATATGGATTTATATTAAACTTTTGTGTAGATATAATGGAATTGAGAAAAAAAAATGTTAAATTTCAGAGATGCATTTTTAATACATATTTTGCTATCTTTCTGGTGACAACTGACACAACAGAAGGGCAATGACTTTTGTAGGAATTAATTAAAATAACGGTACGAACACCAGAATTTGCATATTTATTACTTTGTAAGATAAAAATACAAACCCTCCAAAGGCTTCTTCGTGGCCATTCTTTATTTTTAGTTCCATCATCTGGTTCTGATAAATTTAATGACACGTAATCTTTCCCGAAATGTCCTAACATAGTAGCACTTAAAAGAAAGAGGACAACGTTAGGCTTTTTTCAGGGAAAACTGAACGAGAATTTGTCAAAAGGTTCCCTTGAGGAGATTCTCATTATGCTGGTGAATGTTTACGCAACAAATACATCTTCAACACTTTTCAAATCACACTTCATTCACATAAGCAAATGCGTTCTGATGGTCACTGGTTACACCAACCAGACCACATTATACCATTCATACCGATTCATTCGTCTTGACAGTCCTGGTCAGACTCGGTCTCAGACCCTCCCGAGACCCGTCAGTTTGGTCGGTCTGGGTCGGTCGGATCACGGCAGATCACGGTGTAAGACTCCGTGTCTTACAAGTTACACCATGGCCACTGTGTAAGAGAATAAATCCACTTGCTTTTTTCCTCGAATTTTGTGAAATAAATGTGAGAATCGTATTTCACTTTTTCGTGCTGGACTCGACTTTCAGATCTTCTGACGGCGTCACGCACTTATAATATATTAAGGAGAGGTTGTACACGTCATAGGACAATTTTTTTCTTTTTTCGTTTTTTGGGTTATTTTAAATATTTAATATTCACTTAAAAAGTGCAATATACATTTTCGGCATATTTTTTCCCCAAGGGCTTGAAAATGCTATTTAAATGGCCAACAGCACTAAGTACTATACTCATTTTTAGATCACCTGCAAGTTTTAACACATTTTTTGTTTGGAAGTCTTTTTGAGGGGAATTTGATTTTATGGTCGTATTTACAGTGATGTGGCAAATCTGCTTTGCTATCGTCATTTGCCTAGATTTGTCAATTACAAAACCGGAAAAATAAATATTGCAAAGATCTGGAATGCATAGGGAAGTAAAAATACAGTCATATTTTAAAAATTACTTATTCAGAAAGTTGCATATATGTTTAATAAATCTTTTAGGCTGAAGTCTAGTATACGGTACAACGGAAGTCGTTTAAACTGGCACTTTGCGCCATTCCAGTGACAACTGCGCAGTTGGAATTTTGGAAGCTTTCTTGAAAAGTGCTTTCTTATAAAAGTGAATTGGTAATTATGCGGTGGATAGGCAAGGATGTTTATAATTGAACGCGAGGGCCGGAGGCCTGAACCTCGCCGCTGCTTGGATACGGGCAAGCGAAGCGAGAAAACTTGCCTTTGAAAGTAAATTGGCATTACAATGTGGTGGGAACAAAGCGTATGAATGACGAGACGTGAAAATCGCCTATCAGTAAGTTTTATTCATTTCTATTAAAGCGCGTAGTGTAATTTGAGGGAAGGCTTAAGGAGACCCCGCCGCCACAAGGGTGCGAGGGTGTACCGTGTACCCTACTTTAACTATCTTTTCAAATATCAAATGATGCCCTATGAACACAAAAGTAATTAATTCAATACATCATTAAATCAATTCAAACGATGATTTCCTTGCTCCATTTTCTATAGATATATCTCAGCTCTTCGGCAGTCACGTCTTTGAGTATTCCGCTACGTTCATATCGTATGCCTTCTAATATAGTATCAACGTGATTTTCAGGTAGTTCGTAGAAATCAATTTTCTGAGGAACAAGTTTAATCCATCAAGTACAAAGTGGATCTTATTACTCATTTTTTTCCGAAGTGGACGAGACGTAATATATTCAATTCCTCCTTTACAAGCTCGACCCGAGTTTCTAATTTCGGGGATTTTATTTGGATTATATTTACGGTGAGACTCTATGAAATTCTTAAATTCGCATGATTCTTCATCTTGTAACTCTCTACTTGTGTTGTAGACCGAATTATGCCCAATAAACCGCTTGTTCATTTCATCAATCGTTAAATTTGTGGCTTCGGGAAATTCATTTTTTACGCGTGTGAGATATTTATTTCTTGGCCCTGACAACAGGTAATATTTATCCCCTAGTTGATATCCTTGTGAAGTCATATTCTTATTTAAACTGTTAGTTTTTATATATAACTTTCCTTTATATTTTCTCGTTCTGTATCACAAACTATTATAATGGTTCTTCAATATTTCTCCTGTGCTCAGATTCGAACACGGGTACTCTGGGTAGTTAGGTAGCGCCTGAACGACCGTGACTAATGTTGTGGGAAAACGAACAAGTAAATAATGTTTTATTTATAATGTATTCCGTCAAAATGGTGTTTATTGTTTCTATCTTTTGCTAGTAGATCGCGCTGTTCGTTAAAGGAATAATTTCCAATATAAATTAAGTGGCACTTTACGATCACTAAGAGTGTAGATATTGTCCACATAAATATCAAAACTTTTAAGTTGTAACAAAGATTCCGATTGGATGATAGTGTTTTCCTTTTAGTACTTGACCTTTACGGGCTATACTGTTTAAATTGGAGTATAAAGTCCAATACACCCAGTTCGCCAGTGCTTGAAAATTGAGGCTTACTTACAAAGAAATATATAATATTAATTTTATTACTATTAAAACATTATTATTATTAAAATATTTCTGTCTGTGTTATTACGGGAGACCTTACATTCACCACCCTCAAGAATGCCTGGCCGTGACGTGCCACCCCCACCCCCCCCCACCCCACGCAACTCGCAAATTAGCGATTGAACACAGAATGTATATAACAGCACGTGGCGGCATTCGTCAACATTAGGTCCAGACCAGGTTGTCTGTAGAATCTATATTGTGGGGTTAAAAAGTGTATCCACGAAAAAATGGCTGATAATTCGTCCCAATTAGAGGAACCATTTTATCTTCTTGACCCACTTTTGAATATTAAAGTCAGAAATGAAAATTTCCAGCTACTTTTAAAAGCATTCAATGAACAACATGCGTTATCTTGCAAGGTTAGAATTGAATGAATGTGATTTTGTCATTTGTTTTTATTATTTTTTAACCAACTTACGCTTTCTAAATTGCAGTCTGAAAATAAACTAAAACCTCTAGTAAGTACAGTGAATGCAAGGCTCAACGAATTGGAACATAGGTAATGTATTGCTTTAAAAGTTAAACTTATTTGTGAAGTCAATTATGACATGTTTTAATTTCAAGAATTTGTTAATGATTTTCAAGGTCTTCTGGTATTCAGCTACTGAAAGCACTTTTAGCTCAGTGTTCGGACAATGTATTTGTTGAAAATTCTGTATCTTGGATGACGCAATGTATAAGGGCTGCAACAACTCAGCAGAGTGTAGATGAAGCATGTGAAGTTTTATGTAAGTACACAATTTATTTTAGCATAGATAAATGTTTTTAAATGTAATTTGAAGTGTTTTTACCGATGTAGTCTATGTGGCTAGGGTTTTTGGCTTGATTAAGAGTGGTGTATCTGTAGATTCATTATGCATCATCGTTTTTTTTTGTATTTAAGTAGTGAAGTAACCAATAAATTTATAAGGATATAAGCAAGTATTTTTTGGATTTTTGATTTGTGGTGGATGTATAGACACATAAACAAGGCATGCTTGAAGTGCCTCAACACTCTTATTAGTTATTTATTTTTGAATTACAATGAACTGACAGTTACAAAAATTGACCTTGTTCACTAAACAATATTACTATTCAATGTGTGTGTTTTTCTTTGTTAGAGACCAATGTCACAATATATAAGTGTCCATTGGATGAACCATAAATTCTTATTGAAGTCACAATGTGAATAATGATTTCTGTATGCTAATTTCTAGACAATAAAGGATGTAAATTTGATGGAAAATAATTTAGTTATTTAAGTTTTTGGATAGTGTCAGAATTAATGAAGTCTGCTAATTGAGAGTTCTGTTTGTTGATAAGTCTGTGAAAGAAGTTTTTAAATGGATTTTATGGAAGTGATGATTTTTCATTTTATGTTGATTTCTTGGTTGATTGCTGGATGACATGTGAGAGTCCATGGCTGTAATGGTTTAATGGCTTAAAACATTGCGATTAAGTCTCTTCAAAACCTCCAGTGAATGTGATTCACTCTCTGAAATTATTTGGATTAGCAGTGAAGATTTGGCATAGTGTATCAAACCAGAAAATACTCAGTTTATGTAACTTTTGTTTTCAGGTCTGCTGATAGAAATGTCACATTGTTTTCAAGAGTTAACAAAATCAGTGTCGGGTCAAATTATTCCCAAGTTGATAGATCAGCTGCTCAAACTTAAGGTATGTTATGTAAAATATCAATAAAATTTAGTATGATACAAATAATGAGAGCAGATAAAATATAAACGAGGCTAGATGAGATGGCTCAAGGCAATCAACTGATGTCACTGCAGTCCCTCTGACTGGAGGTCCTAGGTTTGTGTCCAGATAGTGGCAGGATTTTCGACACTAGTTTGTCCAGGTCAAATTCAGTCGCTGTCTGAAGGGGAATTCTAGTGGCTGGCTATGCTGATCAGTAGTTTTCAGTGGTTTCTCCGAAAAACAGCAGGCGAAAGATGGAACAGTACCCTAACAAATGGGCCACGAACCACGCACAATTTTTTGTACCTCTTCCTTGTCCTATCTTCTCCCCTTTCACATGCACTACACAAGCACACACTGTGAGACATCTGTCAGGAGTCTAGAACTTATCGCAACTGGGGTGGTGCCCTGCTGTTGGGAGATACCTGGTTGGGGAAATCCCTGTCAGCCGACAGTAGGTTGTCGCTGGATCTCGCCATACTGCAATGAAAAGATCACTGCCATCTTCCTAGCAAAAGCATGCACTACACTTGGTGGTCTAATGGCCCTGGTAGTTGACGTGCCTGAAATCACTAAAACAAACAATCAAACTGGAGCAGTACCCTAACAAAGAGGCAAAGGAATGTGCTTGATCTCTCCTACCTCTTCCTTGCCCTATCCTCACCCCTTACACATACTTACACTATCATGCACTATACTGCCACACATGCTGGGAAACTGGTGAGGAGCTTAGAGCTTGTTCTGGCTGGGACAGTGCCCCACTGGGAAATACCTGGTTATGGAAAACCCTGCTATCTGATGATAGGTCCATGATAGATCTCGCCATATACTGTATGGTGAGATCTGGCACCAACGGGCTGTCGGCTAGAGGGGAAGACCACAGCCACTTCGGAGTAAAAAAAGGCACTAGACTTATAGTACTAATGACCCTAGTAGTTGAAGCATCAGGAATCACTAACCATCATTCAATCTGTAAATGAGACTTTTGTAATTGTCATTATCTTTTTCTGTTGACATGACAAATGTGTGCAGTTGGAAGCACTGTTTGTCACAATGAGTGAACAAGAGGTACATGTTTCACTTGTGAAACACATTATTTCCATTTTGGCAAATGGAAAAGTAAAATCAGTGGATCAAAGGATTGGGTGAGCAATATGGTGTTGAGACTTTTAAAACCTCAAGTCTGCAAGTGGCAAAGAAGTCTAGTATAGAATGGCGATCAAAATATGAATCAAGCCAGCTAAAAGGAGGACCTAGTTGTCTGCCAGTAGAGTGCTCTTGAGAGTCTTCAGGGATGCCAAAAGAATGGTGTGTGTTGATTTTCTGCAAGGGGTATGAACCGATTTTTGCTCCAATGTAGACTAATGTGATTGTGGTTTTCAGCATGAATAAGAGCGGTGCATCTTGATTCATTCTGCTTTCTATTGTGAGCTCTTAAGGAAGGATGCAGATGCCTTTCAGATGAAAAGTTGTAGGAATCCAATACATAGTGTTCTCCTCCATGACAATGCAAGGTCCCATTTTCTGCAGCCCAAGGCAAGACGAGCGAAATTCAAGGAACTTCACTAGAGTGTTGTGGCATTCCCAGTCTGCACCATCAAACAACCTTTACAGACCATTAAAAAAAGGACTTGGGAAGAACTTTCCTATGTTTTAGGTAGTGGAAGTCTTTGAGCACAAATTGCTACACGTGACTACAAAACATTTTTGAGAACTGCGTCATGAAACAAACAAGGTGCCAAAATATGTAAATAATGGTAAATGTTATGTAGAAAAATAGTCTAATGTTTTTTGATTTCATAACATTTAATAAAATGTTATTGAAAAAGAAATTCAATCCATTTTCAAAGAATGGTGTTTTCTTTGGTTGCATTTGACTGTAGTAAGATGTTTCGTTGTGATGTAACTTTCATGTGCAGTCATAGTAGTAGTAATATTGATTCAACAAAAGCAATAAACATGAATATATTTACTGTGTTTGTATGCTTACTCTTTTGAAAACTTCATTTACTGTGCTATTGGTCATCTAATTACAAGAGGATCTGCAGAATGTGTCCATGAATAAATTTACTATACTGAGAAGAGTATATTTGCTTTCAATACCGTTCATGATAGTAGAATTTTAGGTACAGCTTCATATTTGAAGAAAGTACACTACCTTATTCTAATAACTTTCAGCTTTGATGACCATGATTTCCTGCCACATTATATTTTGTCTAATTGGTAATTGGATCAATGTGTAAAATGTTTTGAAACATGAATATGAGAGATAAGACACGAGATTGAGCTTTTTGAAGGAAAATTTGATGTGAACTATAATTGCAAATCTTTATTTTTTAATGTGAATTGTGCAATTTAAAAATACAATAGGAGTGGTAGCAAAGTGTTCTACGTAAATATGTATTGGAGACAATTTTACTTATTATATTGTGATTTAAATATGAATTGTGGGTGCAAAAAAAGTCACCTAAATGTTAAACTTGTAGGTTTATATTTATCTTTTTTCTTTTATGATTATTTGGCCGTTGGTGGTTGTTTGTGATTTTGTCCCCTCCAGTGTCCCACCAGCAGTTGAAATGATTCAGAGCAATAACAGTTGCCACTGCAGAGTCTGGCTGTGTCCTAGGGTTCAACTCCCAGAGCAGTTAGATTTTTGTCAGAAGCTTGAATTTAGCTGTTGTGTGTAGGAGAATTCTACAGATTGGCTATTTTGATTGGTATTCTTCTGTGGTTTCTCCAATAGTACTAGCTTCCTATCAAACCTTTCACAGGCCATATGTGATCTTTCCTTCATCATTTATGATCTCTCCTCTTACAATGTGCATACACTCGCTCACTCTGGAAAGTCTATGAACACTAGATTACATTACTAGGGAGACCAGTTGATTGGAAAATGTACACAACTCTGATGGCGGGACAGAAGTAATGAGATATGTGATAATGAGATAATGTGATAATGAGACAGAAGTAATGAGTATGCCTAGTTATTTGTGCGTTCCCAGTCCCCTGCTCGTGATTCTTACCACTTTTCCACTAGAAACAGGTTTTCCATCTTCAACAAACCCAGCTTTTTTCCTCCATTGCCAACTATTCTATCCTCACGTCAGCCTAACTACCCACGCCAGAGATCAGCGCAAAGAAGATCCACACTTAATCTGCTCTCAAAAACACAAAAACAGAGTAAACAGGACAAGACTAAGACCCCAACAGATAACACTTTTTCTCATTCATATAAAATGCTTATATTAGCAGATAGCCATGGTAGGAACCATTCCTCCACCATGAGAGAGAAACTCCTTTCAAAGTTTTCTGTTACTAGTGTTTTCAAACCAAGTGCCAGGATGGCTGAAGTAATTGAAAACTTACACACACTGACTAGCTCCTATGAACAACGTGACACAGTAGTAATTATAGTTGGGCTCTGGTAGGCCCTATCCCAGCAATGCTAAATCACCAATTTTAATTGTACTTTTTTCAATAACTTCTCAATGAAATAATGTAGAATAAATAGGAGTGTTCAATAATGTTTGATGATTTCTTTAACATGTTGGTTTTACAATATTTTTCTTAAAATCTGTATTTTTTTTATTTTTATAACTTTTAACATATTTATATTACATTTTTTAGTATATCTGCCATTCTAATTTGCATATATATGGAGCAAATGCAAAAAGGCTGTGTTAAAGTATCACTGAGTATCTAATAAGCATATACTGAAAATTTCATTCAATTCTGTTGGGTAGTTTCAAAAGTACACTTTATGATAAAAATATACAACTTACGAAAAACAGCCATTGATATTTTTAGTGCATTCCAGCTCCGTAATTGGGTTCTCCTTCATTTTCATGAAATGAATCTTCCAACATCCTCTTGAAATTTCTTCTTTTCTCTCTTGTGCTGCTTTCTATTTCCTTCAGTGCCTTTTCCTTTCTTTGTCCATGTTTTTCACAGCATTGAGAGAATGATACGCTACTGTTTTGGACAGTTATTTCAACACTCTGCATCTAGAAATATTGCCATCATTGAATGTGGTGACAGCATCATGCACCCCAAAATGCAAAGTGTTTATGGTTACGAAATCATTCTTTGGTATTCTGGATCATATAACACTATTCACACTCTCATTGGGATATTGAGTGTGACCGTGGAGACATTTTCTTAACAAATTTATATCAGAGAGGTCTCTGAAAATTGGCTTTATTTCCTGAACAATTGAATATGGTAAGCTATTTTTGTGTTTAAATGTTTCACCTGATTCTATTGCTCTGTTGTACGTAAACAAAGTTTCAGAACCTTTTGGGCACAGTCCATGACTTGGTGTTTCATCGCTTGATAAAACGAAACAGAACTGCCCACACTGATTTTTTCATGTTCTCAACACTGTCTGAATTTTGTCTAATAGCTGGACTATAGTACTTCTGAATTTTGTCTATTAGTGCATCAGTCAACCTATTTTTGCCGTGTAAAGATTTGCTCTCATCTAATTTTTTCCTTTATTGGCCACATTTAAATTTTGCAAACATGTGCCCATGAATTTTTGCACATGACCAATGATTTCTAAGTTATTTATTGGTGCATTTGGGCCACAGGGTTGCATTTCATTCAGTTTTTAAAGACTTTAGAATTGCCATCTCCCAAATAATTTACGTATTTTATGTCTTCACAATTCTGTGACCTTTAAAATTTTATAATTCCGTTCACTTCCATGCCACCAGTGGTAATGTAGTAATTTGCCTCACGATTTTTATAGTGCTCTCCATTCACTTTATTTCTACACTGACAATATTACTGTCACATCCAAAACTTTACCAGAGTCAACACTTGTAGCTGAAACCACACCACACAAAGGTCTCTCTCTCCTCTTTTACCAGGAGCAATTGAAAGTAACTGACAGTTCAAAACTATTGTTAAATTTCACAGCTTCATTTGCAACACTTTTCATTGACATCAATGCCACATCTACCACTTAGTTCCAAATGACATTATAATTTCTAAATCTTGTTGGAGGTGGTGGCAAGTTCAATGTATCGCACACAACATTTGCTGCAGTAGCACTATTCCAAATTGCTTGCAACCCAAGCCTAATCTAGCATTAATGTCATAAAAATGATTTGTGGAATCTTCACATTTCATGGAATTGTGAAAATTAATTTTATAATCACAATTCATGCAAGTAATTTGAAATTGTGTGGCGAGTCCACTTTACCTCACAGTTCCAAAATGAAAACCCCCCATTTTTATACAATTTGCAACTGTTCAAAAACAAGTCTCGGAGCACATTCATTTCAAATATTTCACTGTCACCCTCACTGCATTGCTGATGAAAAACGTTGTACATTTCTTCAGTTTCTTCCAACTTCTTTTCAGAAAGGTTCACACACCTAATATCATCCTGCAATGTGTTTGCATATCTGCATCCTGCAATCTGAGACTTGATGCACTGAAAACGTCCTGCGTTTTCTTTTTACCAACACTTTCCCTCTTCTTAAACACTTTCAATAATTATTTCTGCCCATAATTAATATTAAAAACTCAATGCAAATACCTCAAAACGCTCTGAAACTGCCGCACTAAACTCTAACTAGACTCTCACAAACAAAATCACATGGATATCCTTCTTTCTGGAAGTGTAAACATACAAATTTGAATAACAACAAATGAAAATCTAGCAGGCAGACAAACCTCTGAAACAGTAAATCCATGTAAATGGCGGTAGTTTCATATTTTTTATCTATTAGCAACAGCTGTGAAAATGACGGTTACTCTGCCATTTGACCACACCCACTCACAATTTTAAAAACATTGAGCTGTCTTAAATATGTACAATTTAGACAACATTTTAAAGAAGAAAATTTCTACTATTTTAACAGCAAAAAAAAACTAAAAATCAATTATTTTTTTTTTCAATTTTTAACCTAGAGGAGCCTCCTTATCTTTGAACTTGCAAACTTATAAATCAACCTAAAGCTTTTTAACAACTATCAAGCTTTTTAATGACAGATTCAAAAATTTTCTCACTTCTAATAAGATATTGACAGAGGCCCAACATGAATTCAGAAATGATAGATCTTCAGATACAACTATCTTTACCTAAATGACATACTTGTTGCTCTTGATCGGAAAAAAATTCCTATCGGTTTGTTTCTAGATTTATCAATAGCATTCAACATTTTTTACCATCACATACTGTTATCCAAACTTGAAACAGAATTAGAGGGTTTAATGAAACTTGTTGGTATTTTGATTAGTCATATTGATATAGTTTAATTCAGTGTTTGAGCAGCCTGTAAATTTTTCTTTGTGTCTTGTGTTGTAAGTTGGAAGGTGATTGTAATTAAGAAAATGCTATGAACATCATTAATTCAATTAAATCTCATACACCGTAATTTTTCAGAAATCACCTGCTGCGCTGCAGTGCTTAGAAGCAGTTTTGCATTTCTATCCTGGCCCGTGCAAAGTTAAAGTGGTATGTATATTTTTGGATTACAATTCACAATACCACGTCTTATCCCCGAAAGGATTTTAGGATCACTTACACAGAAATATCTTGTTTTTCTGGTATATTTTCCAAAAATATTTGTGAAAGTAAAGTGTCTTTCTTAGGTATGAGAATGTATGTATGCTTTTATTCTTTAGAATTGTCAGAACTTATTTCAGTGCATGGAACAAGAAAGGGTCTATTTCTATTGTTTTGTTTCTCTTCTGACCTTTTTGAGCAATTCTTGTTTTAGTGTTTTTTTTGTAACTCCAGTAATATAAAAATAAGCTCAGCATTCGTATTGTTGGTTAAGCTGTTTGGGCTTGCTGTTTGTATAATCTTTGAAGTGATCATGTTAAAAGTTCCTTCCTAAGTTGTTAAAATTAGAAATCTACTCTCAAATGTTATTGTCAGATTTTATCTTTAGTCTAAAAGGTTTGTGTTCTTTAAGTGTCATGACTATTATGTTATTTATCCTAATGACAGTTATTTACAACACACTTTCACAAATGCCTTAGAATTAACAGATTATTCCCTATTCCATTCTCTTTGAAATATTTGTAAAGAAATTCCTAAGTAGATTTTAATTTGTTATTTTTATATGTTACTTAGGAATTTCTTACTACATACAATGACAAGTGGTTAATATAAAAAAAATATTTTAATAAATTCAGAAAGTGAAACTTCTCTTTTCTCACATCTATGTGCTCCATTGTCATTCTTTCTTTGCTAATTTCCTCAATAATAATAATAATAATAATAATAATAATAATAATAATAATAATAATAATAATAATAATACAAAATGATAATAATAAACTGGATATTTAATGTTCATATCACATTTCACAATAAAGCTAAAAGTTAATATTGCAAACTGCAATAACTTTAAAAGATTGTCACACAACTGAATGACTCAAATGCACCAGCACTACCTTTATGCAGATGCAGTTTTTTGCCCCTAACTATGGAAAGTTGATTTTGACTTGCTCTACTATCAGTGCCATCACTGCAAACAGCAGAAATAACCCAGAAAAGTGGCTAAACTTGCACGACATTTATTAGCACCATATTCTGTGCACACACGTACCTTTGAAGTGATAGAAAATCAGATGTGCATAATCAGAAATTTGTCTTGTGTAAATTATTCCTTTTTTTTTTTTTTTTAATGAACGTTCCAGCTAAATTCTAGAAATGCTTAATACCCTAGTAATCATTCCTACTGGCACTAAAAAACGTTATTACAACATAAACAATGATCTGACTTTGCTTGTCAAATTTGTTGACTGAAATGGAAAACATTGAATTTCAACTCAGGTATTATCTTCGCTATATAACAGTGAAGAACAGCAATAATGGATAATAAATTTAATCTTTGACTGTGCTAGTGAGGTCTATGAGATTTGGTTCTTTTTTGGAGCGAATTTTATGATTTCTATAACTTTCATAATATTAAGTGGTTATTAGTCTTATTTATAATATTAAATGAAGAGGTCAGGGCAATAATGAAAACACTTATATGTTGTATCTCAAAAAAGATCTTAGACCTTCCTTTCAAAACAAACTTTATGTGCCAAATGCTTGACAAACATTTTCATAGAACTTAAGAATGTTTATAGAAAACAGCAAGAAGTGTATACACAGTGAAATGTTTCTGTATTTACAAAACCCTCTGGCTTGCAAACTTATAGAAATGTAGATTATCACTTTGTTGCCCTGAATCTTTCAAACATCAAATTATATTAAAGGAATTTGTATTTCTTGATAAATGTAAACTTGACTTGTTGTAGAAAATTGTTGAGAAGTACTTGCTGATGTTTTTGGATGAGGAAGATAAATCATTGGTGGAGTATGCAAGTCGTTGTATCTGCTATTTGCCACTGCTGCTGACTTCTGGCAATAAAGATGGAAACGCATGGACAAATACACTGACAGAATTGTGTGCTACAGCAAGCTCTTTAATGTTTGAATTATTTGAAAATATTCACGAAGCTACCGTGCCTCCAGCACTAACTGAGCTTCCTGTAGGGTACAAGTTAAAATCCCTGAAAATAGATAGTCCTGCCTTGTCTATCCATCACATCGCTACTCGTATTATCAACATTTTCACATTCATCGAAGGAATGCTTTTGTGAGTAAATCTAATGGTTAATTAGAGAAACAAATAAAAATTAACTTTTGGGGGACATTCAATACAATGTGAATTTTGTGATTTTGCCTAATTACACTTGATTATCTGTTTTCATAATATTAACATGCCAGCTTTTAATTTTGCCTGTAAACGTGCACATTTTTTTAAAAGAGTAAGGGAATGTTTCTTGAGAGAATTGTGTAATTACAGTGTTATTATAAAGGTTTTCAGTGATAGTTTTATTGTTATTTTGATTGTAGTTTTGTAATCAATCACTTAAAACAATCAACTTCAGATTATTGTGTTAATTTTGATTAGTGTGATTGTTGTAATGTGGAAAATCAAGCAAATGTTATTCATGAAATTTGTACAGATTGAAATTGACTTTCCATTACATTTTTGTGGAAGATTGCCTACAATAACTGTTTTTCTGATTCAGAGGTGACCTCACAAATGTGAAAGCAGTAAGAGATGATCTGCTGATAGCACTGGTTTACCGTGTTCTTGCGGTCAATTGCAATATGGTGAGCCGGGGTAAGACCTTGGAACATGTAGCTGTGGTGTGTGTGTTACCAGATATCCACAAGGCTGGATTCAGTTTATTGCAGACATTAGTTTCTTGGTATGTATAATTTTGATTTAGCTTGAAAAAGAGTGAAACAAAATGAGAATAAAAAATTATTGGAATGAATCTTCCCAAATTTTCAATAGGCAATTCTCCCACAAATCTCTCTGGTTCAGATAGTCCAGTACATTTAGTAAGAAGAATTTTATGTAAGGTAGTTTGGATTTGCTATAAAATGTGTAGAGTAATACTATTTTCAAAATGAAAAACAAATATATTCTTAATGCTATATTACTTGTGTACTTTACTCTACAAGACCTCAACAGATTTGGCAGATTGACTTCAAAGAAATGTAAATGAAAACATGAATTGAAAGGGAACATGCAGAGAGCGGATTTCTATGATTTTGCATATTTTTCTGTTTCAGTACATAGCTAAATGAAATTTCTTGACATTTGGTTAGAATATGGTGCTATATAGATTGGCCATTTTTTCCTGTTGGTGCATATTCTTGTAATTATAAGCACATATTTCATTAAAATAGAGATTTATGTAGATAAAACTTACATCTTTTGATAGAATCCTATTATTTCTGAGCATTCATTGATTCGAAAGAGCTTGTCACAATTTGTCATACTTGTGCAAATGTAGGATATTTCTTGATAACACATTTTTTAAACCAGTCAGAAGAAATACTTACGCAACACACAATGTACTTCACTAGGGTGAATATTTACTTCAATTTTTTCTCTCGCAAAGTGGGGTAGATTATATTATGTTTGCACAATAATATATCTTTTCATTCCAAGTATGCTTCTCCTGAATTATATCAAGAAAGTTTTATATAGGAAATGAAATATTGTTAATTTTTTTGTGTTAATGAAATATTGTTAATATTGCACATTTCAAGATTTTACAGCATAAAAATCCTTTCCCTAGCTGTTAACAATAACAATATATTTTGTTTCAGTTGTAATGGCGGTTTATTGAAATACGGGCCATTGTTTTGCAAACTTGTGTTGCAAACTTTAAAATGGACCAAACAACCTTGTGGTTATGGAGTGGAACGCCCTTTCAGGTTGGTGGTCTGTGTCTGTTAGGAAGCAGTGTGACATATTGATGAATTTGATAGAGTGAGAAGGAACTTATTATACCTTTTGTATTCAGTGAAATGTGGAATACACATACTT